TTTTTCGTAGTTCCGCCGCTCGCCGCTAGATGGCGCCACCTGTACCGTTTTGGACCAAATTCGATAAAAATTGATTTCCTGGCTTTATTAGGCATCAAAACGCATCAAACCCTAATAGAAATTTGTTTCTAAATGCCTCAGGAACCATACTACGTCGTCAAAGTGCCGAAATATTGCACTTTGCATGTGCAGTTGAATTGACATAGGCGGCTTATGTACGTACTTTCATCTAACAGTTTCCTATTATACCGACGTGGTACCGATACGCTTGTTCACGATCGACTGTACACTCAAAGCTATTGCTCACGCAATTCAACGCCCGGTCCTCGCGCTCTCTTATTGATCAGTATTTTGTTACTAATTACTCGAAAATGAAGCTTCAATCAGTATTTTGACAAATAAAAATGTTTAGGATCATCCCGCTTACCACCCCTTTTTGGCTCTTGCAGCAGTTCTGGGACACCCTGTATATACTTAAATATTTCTTAATATTCCTGACATACATACAATATCAGTAATAGTTGTGTAGATAATAAAATTAATGACTTTAAGAATCCTATTTGAAAAAGCTACAATGTTAAAAATTCAAGTCAATGTTAAAATGTTAAAAATTTTTTGGTGGCAGTTGGTAGTCGTAAAAGATTCGAATCGTCATGACTTCCCAACTCAATTAATTAAACTCCATCTAAATGCGGAATAGAGTCGTATATAGATACTGGAACATTTAGATATGCAGTTTTATCTTTAGAACTATTGTCAGTGAATCTGCAAGTTGAAAAAAAGATATTGTATATCTTACACGAGATAATGTTAGTTGCATCGTGCACTGTGGACTGTGTCCTCTTACGGCACGTGGGAAAAATACTATCAAATGTACTGTGCGATCTGTAGGTCACTATAACCTCAAAAGTTGCATTATGCATAATCAATCTGTGAGAAGTACTCTTTGAGCGTAGTGTAGCTTTAAGATATAATTGATTGAAATCTCATTTACGGTTACCACTGCCAGAATGGCAATAATGAAAATATTGTTAAGGCCAAACATCACGAGGTTCACAGGAGTTCGAGTGAGTTACATTTCAAACTTCATTGTTATGTTCGATTCTTGTTTCTGCACTTCAAGGTGGATCCTTCACACATGCCTTCTTTTGTTTATGACATATCAATGACCTACTTCCTTGAATGAATGTAAACGCATCGAAATTTCATATTGATTTTGATAATTTGTTTTAATCGATTCTACTACAAAATTTGTACTTATTGGTAAATGTAACCTTTTCGTTTTCTCTTATTTTCTTAATAAGATTCTGCATCAAAAGAAATAAGTTTTATGTATCTTGTTATAATTTAAATTTAGATATAATTTTTGTTCATATATTTTCAGTAATTTCACAATTTAAAAAATTTTTATGTAATATTCACTAATAAAAAGATTACTCAAAAGTTGATTATTAATTGTAACTATAAAATTAATTAAACAAATGATGTACAGTTTATGAGATATTGCATTATGTGCCAGTACAAAAATATAATGCTTGGTATTCACATCAATATAACAAGTGTATTTTTATATCTTGTTTCAAGGCCTATGTAGCTGGTTTAGGATATTGCTCCAAGAATATGAAGTAGGAGTAGAACTTCTTATGAAATATTTAAAGGGGAAATATATAATTTATTACAGATATAATATAAAAATATGCTAAGATCTAATAAAAAAAAAAGATATTAATATTTTTTTGTTTAATTTTCAGCACTTGAGTTCTAAGCCAAAATTTGGTTTACTTTTTGACATTGATGGTGTAATAGTACGTGGAAAAAATGTATTACCTCCTGTGCCCGAGGCTTTTAAGCGACTTCAAGGAAAAGATGGCAAATTTCGTGTACCCACTGTATTTGTCACTAATAGTGGAAATGCTCTACGCAGTCAAAAAGCATTAGATTTATCCAAATGGATAGGATATGAAGTCAAAGAGTCTCAAGTAATTATGGCCCACTCACCATTAAAATTGTTTGATCATTTTCATGACAAACAAGTACTAATATCTGGGCAAGGTCCAATCAAAGAAATAGCTAAGGAACTAGGTTTTCAAAAAACAGTAACCATACAAGAATTAGTTAAAAATTTTCCATCCTTAGATTATGTAAATATGAAAAAGAGAAATCCGCAATGTGGACCAATAGATCCAAACTTTCCCACTATAGAAGGCATTGTGTTATTTAGTGAACCAACTTCTTGGGAAACTCCATTACAATTGATGGTGGATCTTTTAATGACTAATGGCATGCCAGGTGGTTTGCTCAGTGAACTTCCTTATCCACACATTCCAGTCTTGGCATGTAATATGGATTTATTATGGGTGTCTGAAGCACCTATCCCTAGATATGGTCATGGTGCTTTCCTGCTCTGTCTCGAATCCTTGTATAAGAAAATTACAGGAAAAGACTTAATATACTCTGCTCTAGTCGGAAAACCTAGTGAAATCACTTACTATCATGCAAGTTATATGCTCCGTGAGCATGCTAGAAGTATTGGAATAGATCATAACGTTGATACAATATATGCTATTGGGTAATTAATGCTCCAAATTCGTTAAAATTAAACTTGTAATAAAATACTATAACTCATGCTTTAAATTTAATATGTATTTTTCAGAGATAACATTAACACTGATATCTTCGGTGCAAATTTGTACGATAAATATCTATCGCGTTGCACACAGGAAGAAGTATTAAAGTCTGACAAAATAAAAAAGCTGCTTGGGAAGGACGTCAAACCGCCTACTTCAAAAGCTTGTATCAGTATTCTAGTGGAAACTGGTGTTCATCAGCGAGATTCAAATTTTATATCGGAACATAGTCCTAGAGATTTCATACCAGTTGAAGACAGTTTATGCAAGCCTGCATTCATAGTGAAACACGTCGGTGAAGCTATTAATCTTGCGTTTAAAGAAGAAAAATTTGACTGAACAAATAGATTGAAGATTCTTTTAGACTTGGAATGTTCACATTCTAATGGTTAAGCAAGGAGAAGTAAAAAATTGTAGATTTAACTTTGCTAATCAAGTATTACGTTATTTTCTTTATTTAAAGGTAAAATCAGTAAGAAGAAATGAGATAGGATTGCATGAGCATATTTATTTTGCTTTTTTTTTCTACATATTTTTATTTGATCAATTGAACTGAATTCATTATTATAAATCAGTGATATACACAGCATAGTAATCGGCAGAAATATTAGATACAATTATAATGAATTTTATGTATATTTAAAATTTCATTAATTTATATTATATAAGCATAGTGTTTAGTGAACTATTCAGATATAGCATTACATGTACATATGTACACTGGCAAGCCTAGTAGGCTTCCCTAGGATAAATGACAATTAGAGAGAAGAGGCCTCGCCACTCGTTAATTTTAAAAATTTGGAAATTTCTCTATTTAGAACTGTTAGAAATATGAAAATCTGGGAACTTACAAATTTGGAAATTTGAAAGTTTCAGAAAATTTAAGCAGTAGGATATTCCTCCCTCTATACTTGCCTCTATGGAAAGGAAGTCTACATGCCTCGCAGTGTACGCATGCGATATAAAAAGATACATATACACACACACACATACTTGTACATGTATATAGTATCTGTATATGCCAGACAATTTGTAATCTACTTTTACCATATTTTAATTGATTTGTTAATGAATTTTAATGTCTGATTTATAGTGTTTCAGAGTGATTTTATCATACCGTGATATTAATTCATATTTATCAGTGAAAAACAAAAAATCTTATATAGATAGCGAAGCACGTATCGTGTTTTATTTAGTCAAAAAAAATCTATCGATGCACTCGCTGTATTAGCGCATTATTTAAGACTTTTGGTTTAGTATCTCTCATTGAATACTGCTGTTTGGATACTAAACTTCATCTAGTCTCAACGAACAATTTTATCGTTATGTACATACCAAATTATAGCAGTAGCAATCTGTAATTCCTGTTAGTTTGAAATGTGTAAAGCATCAGCTAAGCCATTCGTGTCAATGATCATGTAACAATACAAATGTCCTAATATACAGCAAACGAGCTCTTAGAAAAAACAAAAGCGCACATTGTACAAGAGTACTACGATTCAACTGACTGTAGTTAGCTGGAGACAACAACAAATGCACACTACAAAGAAGAAAAAACATTGAGACCTGTGTCGAGGACGAAGACTGACCATCTACGTCCATAACTTGTTTTAATTTTACAAGAAATCAAAGTGAGGACAGGGATAGTCATTGCTCGACTTTCATACTCTGTAGGATAGTATTCTGCAGAGTCAGAAATGTTATAGGTACTTTGAAAAGGTAATTGTACGCATAGGTATGTGTAGAGTGTTGCAACAATTGAAAGCAATACGCACTATGTACACGGTTTCTTAGTTACAACCCCATCCGTAAGAGTTCGTGAGACTTTTATGGAGCTAATTAGAATTTATTTTAGTAAATTGTATGTTTGTTTATTTTGTCCTGTTCTCCTATATCAGTGTTCTCTGCGGAAGCCACGGGATCTGCGATGATATTACTTTTTCGATCTTTAAAAATTTGTCTGCTACTTCCAAACGATTTGAAAACGCGCGTAATTAATTGCCCGTCAAATTTGTTAAACAAATAATGAAACATTGAACCTGTTTTCGTATATTGCGTGCAATAATTGTGAAGCGCGAAACAGAAATAGCTTCACGAGCTGTGATATATTTTCGTTATAAATATTTTGTCGATATTCAATCTTTTGATCGAATTAATATTGATTTCAATGATATATTTTTGTATTGTGAGTGATACGTACGATTGATTCGATTTTTTGAGCTTTATATTTGAATTATAGTTTAATAGGGTATCATGTTAAACCTGTGAAGTATGTTAAACAATATACCTTTTCTTTCAAAACGATTCCTCAAGCAAGAGTTGTATTTGTAGAAAAATAGAAGCAAAGAAATATAAAATATATTTTTCGTTAACAAAGTAACTATCTTATTACAGACTAATAACGCTGTCTAAAACAGAATGTCATCGAACGAGAACTTATAAGGATTCAGTGAACGGTTGGTTGTACTCCAGGTTTCTTTTAGGTAAGTAGAAAGATGGAAGGAGGTTCTTTGATCGAAAATTCTTTACGAAATTAGAAGATTTATGGAGAGTCTAAGAAAAATTTAAAAAAAAAATTCAAACAGAGCGCAGAGAGTTCCTGAATGTCCTATTTGAACCTTAGATGACTAAGAAGTGAACTCTATCTTGACAGAGCGTCTGAGTCTCACGACCTGTGAATTAAACCATCAATCGTTTGATGAAATAATTTGATTATACATCGAGTCGTCGATGTCTGTACGGAATAAATTTATTTATCGACTTTTTCGTTAATTCGCATACGTCGGACACATTTTTCCTCATAATGTCAAAGTATCATTCATTTAAATATTCCTTATAAATTTAATATTTGCGATTCAAGCGATAAAATAAAGTTACAAAAAATCAGTGATACTTATGCTCCGGACAGGTACTCGTTTCCGGAAGAGAAGAAATCTCGGTCAATTTCTTCTCGATAAATTTTTATTGGATGCGCGAAGAATACTTAACGAGTCACATTGCACGTGAAGTCGCGCTTAATTCACGGTTTCATTAACGCCCAAGTTATCATAATTGACCTTTATCGCTAGGCTACTAATCAGCATCGTATATTCGAATTACGTCAACAGTTAATAGACTTAAAAGATTTTACCGACCAGAGTCACAAAATTTCAGACGATTGGATTCAACCAGTTTCACGACGATAAATTTAAAGAGAGGAATTGTAGTATCAATTTTCAAATACTTGTGTAAATAGTCTTATAGATATTTTATAAAGAGTTCATACATCAAAAATAAATCGATTAGAAAAGCAAGCGAACGCGTTCGAAGAATCCGCTGGTTCAGTTTACTAGAACAGGCTTGAGATTAATAATCACATCCTGTGACTAGAATCGGCTGCTGGACCAAAACCGGTTATCCATTTCTGTGTCGTGATGCACATCGATAAATCGCGAATTTTTAATTTAGAATTCAGGACTCGTTCGAAATATTGTACACGTGTCTGAAAAAGAATTTTTCAAGCGGAAGTGAAATAAAGAAAACGATTGTAATTAAGTTTCAGCATTTTTACATTTTCCAGATATGGCTCGTACATGTTTCTATTAAAGAGAAAACAAAAATTGAACTATAAAAGTTATGTAGATCACTGTTACCAGTTCAGATCGTCGATTACTTCAAAAGTAAAAGTTTCACGGATACCGGATAAAACATGATGGATCGTAAGCAATTATCCCGTTAACTAGATCATTGTATAAACTGTTCTCCTTTCCCGGAAAAAACACATTGACCATTGGTATCATCAACCCTTAGTATAATAATAAATAAATATAACTTAATAAGTAATGCTGTTAATAAAAAACAGACCTTCATAGATTCAATACTACTTATTAGATTTTCTACGCGTCTTTCACTCGTCAACGAATTAACTCGTCTTTCCCCAGTTAACAAGTTAAGTACATAGGCTGCACGCTCTCCAGCACGTGGATATACGAACAAGGTTATAGGTAATTGACCCATGAAAGTTCACTTCTCACCACTGTCACCTACTCCCATCGATACCCCAAGGCGGTTTACCGCAATTTAAGACAATTAAACACACGCGATAAGTCATTGGCTACTAGGAAACTATCGTAGGAGAAAGTATCTACTCTTAAACCATTCGTTATCATCATTACTCACATTACATAAAATATATACAAGACTCAACTTTCGACTAGGGATGGGATGCTTTCAATATGTAGTTGCAAAGTGACTAAGAATAAATGGGAAGACTCTAACTGGTTGTCTTTGAAAGAACTCGGAAAGAGTTTGAGCTAGAGGTAGTCTGGGAACTGGAGGTTTAAAGCTTAAAAACCTAAGACCTAGAATGCCTAAAGAGTTTAAGAAGAACCTACAGAGTTTAAAATCTAGAAAGAATCTACGTTCTGATTGTGCAATTCAACCTTGAACAGTGTCAATGTTAGCCTTTTATAAGGTGAAAGGCGATGTAGAGGAAAGAGATTCCTCTCGCATTTAATTTTGGAATAAGTTCACATTGAACTTGATCCCATCCCTACTCTCTGCATTCTCTCTTACACCAATCATCCTTTCATGTTTAATAAGTTAATCGAAAGAATCTGACTGATAAAATTAACATCCGCCTACATTCGTCTCTCTCTTCCTTCTCTTCTCGTAACATTCGATGGCTTTCTGGATTTCTTCCAAGTATTCCTGTATCGTATCCTCTTTCGATAACTCTCTCGAATCGGATCGCGAGAGGGATCTCTTCTGCACGAGTGCGGTGAGCATCAAGGTGACTACAGGTAGTGTCATGCCCAGTAAAAATGTCGGTGTCATGATGTTCTTCAGTCCATGCTTCTTAAAACCTCGATATAATTCAGCCCAGATACCGTCTTTCTCTTCTTCGTGATACTTGCCGAGCTTCCCATAGAGGTGAGGCTTTATCTTGCCCGTCTTGGCGATGTAATTATAGTAGTGAGGATCATAGGATTGAGCATACAGTTGGGAGTAATAGACGTCTTTGCTAGGTGGTGAGTGGTCCGCTTCTGGGAACCAAGCGCTTGCATCCTCGTATGGTACCGGATGATTACTCGGAGGTGGTGGACCTCGATGGAATCCTGGTGGCTTGGTGTAAATCACCTCCACGGGTGGGCCTGTCTGTTTGAAGGGTACTGGAAAAGTGTAGAAAACTGTTATTAGTTACATACTCCCTATGGTGGGGCTTCTCAAACTTTGATGGGTTAACAATTTGAAAAATGGTGCTCACTTTGGGACTTCGGAATTTACTTTCCAAGGACTCACCTGGGGGACCATAGAATGCAGGACCTCCTTTCCTGGACTGAGGATAAAGAAACGGTTTCCCACGCAGTCTTCTCATACGATGATGCCATCCAACAGGATAGAACACGTCGTTCCTCGCTTGCAACCCGGTTACATAAGGCTGCAGTAACTGTTGTTGCTGCACCGCAGAAGTACCCACAGTGTTCGACACGGGTGACTGGTAATCCTGAAGATTTAGAGGCGTACTGTACACTTGCTCGTTCAACTGTTGCTGTTGGTTCGCGGGGTAAACTTGTACCATTCGTCGTTGCAACAATTGGGATGTCAATTGCTGATTTACGGAAGACATGATCCCTGCTGGCTGCTGATTAGTTCTTGACATAAGCTGCTGCGATAATTGCTGCTGATCACTGATCGTTTGTACCGTCGTTTGTTCTTGAACCACAGTGCTTTGTGGTTCAACTTCTCTACTTTGTAAGTAGTAATCCAACGACATACGCGATTCTTCAGGTGTTTTCGAATTCAAAAACGAGTTCAGTGCTATCTTTGCTGGATCAGCGGATGTGGTCCCTGCATTGTAGATGTTCGACATCTGTCGAGCTGATTGAACAGCGACAGAGTTCTGTTTCCGTTCTACATGATCTGTTTCTTCTTGATTTATGGAATGATCATCAATCAGGGTGTTCTTCGTTGAGCTGTGAAGGTATCCGACTAGAGGGTAGACCATCTCCGCGACCGTGCTCGTCACGTTCGCTGTGGTTTCCTGTCTTGCGGTTTTTTCTAAAGATCGTGACTCTTCCGCTGTGTACTCCGTGTTCTCAGTCAGTGGATTACCCTCGAAGTTTAATTGAGCGTGTGTTAATCCTGCAGCCAGAACGAGAAGGAATGCTGTCCAGTCCATGGCTCTGAAATCAGTGGGAAATACTGATTGTCAGACATTCGTTATAAATTAATAAATGTCCATCCAAAAAATACTTCGCAGATCTTTCCTGTTGTCCCACTTACACCGCTGCTACTCGAGAAGAAAAAATAAAGAAAGCTATTCAAATACTGCGGTCACAAGACGCTAACGTGTGTACAGAATGAATTCTGGCCAACACCTTTCTTCAGTTAACATCCTCTTGCATCCTATTTTTGTAATACTATTTTTTCCTATCCCCGAAATAAATTACTTTCGATTTATGCGCATAAATATTTCTCTTGAATATAAATAGAAAGGAAGTTCGGAAGAAAACGAGTTACGATTAATTACGGTCTTTGCATGAATTAAACCACGCGGGTTATACATCCGTGTAACACTTTCTTCGGTCAAGGTGAACGCATTAAAAACGTGAATACGTTGTTTCAACCATTTTGTCATAGAAAAGACAAGCATTCGATCGCGTTCAGATTCCAGATGTATAAAATAGTTATTCGAGAGGCTCATGAATTTTTTATTTGTTTCGTAACATGAAATTCATAGGATTAGCCCGTGTTAAATTATGAATCGGTACATTAACAACTCCTGACGTTATCTCGTCTCGTTTCCTATCAACGATATACTAGTTTTCTAAACCTGATCTCTTCGAGATATCGGAATTTTTAAATTTAACAAATGACGCATTACATCCGAGTGGGTCACTGAAGTAGAGAAATTGTTTCGAATGAAAAATATGAAATGATGAATCATTGAAAAGAAAAGTATCGAATGCATGGACTGAAACGTAGGAAAAAGTCGTCCAGAGAGAGTGGCTCTGCTTAAAACTCTGCCCACGTGTGTGCTGCTCTTCGAAGAGAGTTCAGGGTCACGCTTCTTTTACATTTTTCTCTTTAAAAACAATATGCAAATCATCTTCTCGAGTCGTCTTCCGTGATGTACTAACAGTAAAAAATAGCCAAAATGTAAGTTCGCATATTTCCGTCTTTAGTAGGCGTTTCGAACAGTCACAGCTACTAATCGCTGTTCCAAATTTGCGAAATTTAGCGATTGTCGATAAAAGCACGCGACGATCTACAGATACTTTCTAAAAACCGTTAAGACATTATGAATTCAACGATCGACCGAAATTCGAGGGGAAAAAACGCTTTGATTTCCTTCTGCCAGTCAACGACCGGCTATCGACACCATTCTAGAAACTCTTCATGTATTTTGCGTGAATTGAAAAACAAGTAGTGTCTGATGTTAAAAGAGATCAGGATTTTTCTTCGCGTAAAAAGATCAGACTCCCGCAGTTATTCATAGGAACGTTCCGAAGAAAAAGAAGTAGAAACTCCGCGTACCGTGAATGATAATAATTGCTTGACTTCATGAAGCTAAACAGAATCGAATTAAAAATTTAATTATGGTTACCTACTTATTTTAATTGACTTCTTATACAATTCTGTTCCTCTATACAACATTGTAATTTGAAAATAATTTCTGTTCACTCGAGTATCGGAGTAACTATCTGAATTACCACTTTGTTAAAACCATTGTTGTTTTGTTATTTCGAAGAAATTACATTCTATGGGACGTTTACTCACAATAATGATTTTTATCAATTAAACACTGGCGATCACCACCACCCTCGAATTTCTCACGACTTGACATACACCGAAGAAAACGGCACACGAGAAGAAACCATCCATCGGTCCGACTGGAACCAGGAATACTGAAGATCCACGGATGATGAGAAAGGCATTCACTTCGCTATTCCCCTACCTTCTCGAACTAACAAAGCCGGCCCCTTCATTCGTTACCTGGTCGAAATTGCTATCACCTTTCTTCTAAACCCCTACATGATCCCATGAAGTTACGGCAACTTTGTTTTATGCACAATAGCCTCTATATATCCGCGATGAAATAGATTTCTTCCGAGCGTAATCCTATTATGAGAGAATCCGTAGGAGCTGAAATATATTATCTTAATTATTAAGTTGCAATTATTTAGGATTTTGAAAAATAACGCGAGTAGGCCATAAAAAATATTCCCATTTTCCTGATAGAGATAGTATAAAACAGTGTACATCATTTATAACAATTTAGACATTATTTCCCATGCATTAGACCGTAATAAGGTCATCGAACTTCGAATAATTATGCACCATAGAAGAATAATGATGAAATAAAGAATAGATAATGCTAAGCGACTTATTAGTAGCTTAATAAATTGCATCCAATGCTCCATTTTCCCAGATCAGTTCCTCGTCCACCTACAAAGAACATTAATAAAATATTTCGTTAACGTTTATACGTAAAAAAGGTTCTCGTTTACTTAACTAGTGGCAAAACCAACGTGTCGATATACAGCTGACAGTTTTAAAGAGCGATTAAAAGAAAATATATGGGTCAATCAGTTAAATCCGCGGTGTTCATAGCTAGTGTGCATCGAACGATTTCTGGCGGCAAAACAGGAGTATAGAAGTCGAACGGTAGTTTAAGCATTTTGTTTGCATTGCCTTTCAAACTGTCTCTTACAACCATGATATTGTTGATGAAACCCCGATCGACACCGGTTTTGAAGATGGCATATGCGTGAGCTACTTACCTGATTCAACAAAATTGACTCTGTTTGCACGTTTTGTCTCTGCTAATGAATGCTAACAACGTTAGGAAGAAAGCTGGTGAATGAGTATGAAGTAAGAGTGGTTCGGTGCCGCATTAGGTTACTGCACTAGAGCCTTATAAGTTTCCAGACCTTATATTTTATTAAATCAATTACTTAAATTAAAGTCGACGATAGGGTAGTTGTTACGGCTAATGTATTGAAGTATGACACTGCTAAGTGTACTACGTGGCTATTTCATACTTTGCTAAGTTTACATTTTCACTTTACTAATTCCAATAGTAGCACATTCTGTACTTTAATTATTTCAATAGCAGTACGTCTCATACTTCACTCATTCTAACATGGTAAAGTTATCTTCCTAAGTTTGTTATTCGCAAAAAAAGTCGGGTTTCTTCCCGACATCTTCGGAACTCTCGAACCTAGCAGATCGCAGACGCATCGAAAACGATGACCCCTCTGCGCGAAGACAATAAGGAGGGGTGATCCACGTTTATACTCCTCCTCGTACAGACGATGCTTCCAAGCGAACGTTATATAATTGTGGTAGATTACTACCAACGTTGGTCACATGCATGCTGCTGCACTCGGCTCTCAGCTCTCCAACGCTCTCGGTGGACATTCAGCTACGGAACGACCTGAGCGTCGCACCTCAAGGATGGAAACGCAACCAAGAGGAAACGCATCCACGACGATCACGTGGAGACAGCTGAAGGACATACTTCTCGACCTGCACCTAAACGTGGATCGCATCTTTTATTAGTGAGTGAGCTCTGTGCCTTCAAATTCAATTAATCAAACAAAAACTAATTGCTTCCGTACAACAGTTTATGTATAACACTTGCAAAATTATTAAGTATTTAAAATTTAAATTACGTAGTTCCACAGACAGCGACATTGAAGTATCCTCGTTCCAAACATTCAAATTGTCAGATCTATTTTCGATGAGAACATCCTTGACGTAAACAGTCTCCAAAAAGAAAAAAATAGATCGGATGTCGGCAAATTGAGCATGATCGCGTTCTTCTGTCGGAAGTGCATTATCTCCGTTTTCGCGGTGCGCCTGCACTATTGGCATTTCACATTGACACTGAAATATATTAAGTCTTGGTTGAATAATAGATTTCGTCGAGTAAATTGGCATTGATATATGCATCCATTAACGGTAATTTCATATAAAAAAGCTAATTACCGGATCACAGACAAGGTTGCCTTTCAAAGATAAACACGACGTGTATGATTCTGAAAAGAAATCTTTCGTAGGAAAAGCAATGTCATCCCGTAAATTCAATTGATAAAACTTCTTTGAGGTAATTCGATCTTAATTGTCGTTAATGACCGCCGCTTAAATTGCAATTGAAGAACCACGTCGTGGTTGCATTCGTGGTGTCTTTAACCGGGTGTTCAATCGAATAACGAAAATGTAATAAATCTCGTTAAGTTTCGGAGCTTGAACCCTGTATAATTTGATCCACTTAAGGTGAGATCATCGCAGCCCCCTTAATTAGCTGAATGCCCATTTTGTTCCACGAATTGGCCTATATTGGGTAGCCAATTCCTCTGGCGCCACCCTTTGAGTTTAACATCGTCTTATTTAAAGATCATTTCCTTTCTAATTGCTTAATTACTTAAAGGATTATACCACGGTTATCCTTCCAATTGAAACTGCATTGTAACTCGATGAAGAAACTCGCAACCTGGAAGATCGATCGATGCTTAGAATCATGTTCAACGTGTGACGATTCCTTTGAAGATCAAATCAGTCTCATTTAACTCGATTGACACAGTGAAAATGGCCACGTGCAGAATAAAGCGTTATAATGACAATTATTAACGATATGATTACACTGTTAGATATAGTAGAACCTCATTCATCTAACATGTTCTCTGACGCGGGTACCACTGAGATTTCTCAGGGGCAACACATTCTGCTTGATATGCTTTATAATATTTTTAAGAAATCAATGGAGTACGTTTAATACAATCTAACTTTCTTGCTCTTTGTATTCTTTGAATTATATTAAATTTATGAGGCCAATCATAGATGATTTGTATAACAGCAATGCTGATCCAGCGTTTTGCTAGCCAAGGATATCCTTTAACGCTAACGTAGCGACATGAAAGTTTGTGGAAGATTGCTTCTCGAATGACTTCATTCTCATGATTCAGCTCCTCGATTCCAAATCCATTCTCGATCTAAAAAGTATATTTCGAATAAGAGCTACATTCTACTAAAATGTCTTTATATACAAACTATGTATTACTTTAACTTACAATGCTCAAATGCGGAGTACAGTCGCCAAATTCAGCATTATTTTCAGCATTGGCCTGAGTATTGGCAAAAGACCGTGGCTCTGGCTGTTGGTATCCTTCTGCCTAAACTGTATCTGCGGCTCGGGACTGTTCTTCTGGAAGGAAGAGTTCGACAACATAAATTTGTTCGTACCCCACGATTCTGTGATTCGCACCGATGCAGCCTGGGTGAAGAAACACTTCCGGGACGATTTCCGATACGAATGTATCATCGTCACGGCGCCGAATGTTCTGGAACCCGAAGTGCTGCGCTCGGTACATAGGCGATCATGAATTATACGAGTATCTGCGAAGGTTCTTTTCTACTTTACGCATGATCATTCTTTGAAACGTATTTACGACTCATCAGATTTTCCTTGCACTGAAATCTGTGAGCTGAACGCACGAGCCGTTTGTAACTCAACAGCTTCAATCTTGTGTATATCTTCTTTCTTCTCAGATCTACAAGATCGAGCAGGCGGTGAAGTCCGCGGTGGTGAATAACAACACGTGGGAAGACGTGTGCGCTGGGTAAAATCAAAATTAATAACCTGTCCAATCGCTTTGTCCAATGTAATTTGATTCTCGTACCTTAGGTATCTGTTCGAATCGCAGATACCTCTCCTGGTTCAACCCGGACGAGACCAAGGACGTATTGAAGGATTTCGAAATCCCTGAGGACATTATGCAACACTTAAATGATACGGTGTTCAAGAACGGATGTATATATCAATCGATTATACAGCTCTGGGAGAGTGGCTTATCAAAGGATGTTCGTAATCTGACGAAGAAGGAGGTGCTGGACGATGTGACCAAGGCGGTCAAACACAAGTGAGTGTAAGGGAAGTTTGATCTGAGATGGGTTATAAATAAAAATGTGTTGCAGGATTAAGAACAACCTACTACACAATATTGTACCTCTTCTGTCAGGCATCTATTACGACAGAAAGGGTCGCGTGAAAGGCGCGAACGCGACCATTCTGAACTGGATGCTGAAGAAAAACAATCCAAACGCGGCTGATTGGGAATTGGAGTTCATAAACAGAGTTCTTTATTCCGATATCACGTTACCACCTGGAATGCAGGTGTATGCTATAGCTTCGAGAAGTTATCTGGACTCTTTGCAACAAATTTTTAACAACAATTTCATGGTACTGGGCTTTGGAATATCCTTAATCGCTGTTTACGTGATGGCTATGATCGGTAAATGCAACGCGCTGGAACAACGGATTTATCTGTCGATGATGGGAGTGTCGGTGGTTGGTCAATCGATCTTGTCATCTTATGGGCTGTGCTATTACTTGGGATACTCGTATGGACCCATACATTCTATTCTGCCGTTCCTGTTGCTTGGAATAGGCGTCGATAACATGTTCGTTATCATGCAGAGTCTGAATAATTTATCGGAGACGGATCAGTCTTTAGAGATTCCTATACGCATCGCTAAAACTGTTCAACACGCTGGTACGAATAAAATTATAGATTTATAGCTCTATCTCTCAATTCCTTTTCTAATTTTTTATTCTTCTTCTCTTTTAAGGTATGTCCATCACAGTTACGTCCTTTACAAACATGATTGCATTCGCTTTCGGGATTACCAGTGTGATGCCATGTCTCAGATCGTTCTACGCGTTTAGCACTTTGGGAATTATGTTCTTGTACATCTTCGAAATCACATTTTTTATAAGTTGCCTAGTGTACGACGAAAGGAGACTCGAAGCAAAGAAGGATGGGTGTTTCTGTCGCCCCAGATTAAACTGGAAACTAAATGAATGCAGTCAGAGAAACACTCAACAAATTATCTTCGAGAATTATATTGGACCAAGAATCACCAAAGTCTCATCGAAAGTGGTTATCCTAGTAATCACTGCTGTGTTCTTATGTACCAACGTATGGGCAGTGTTTCAAATAGAGCAGAACTTTGACCCTCACCGATACTTAAATCAAGACTCTTATCCGATTCAGTTCAACGAGAAGTTGAAACAGTATTTTCCAAAGTATGGAAAACGAGCTGCAATTTACTTAACCGGCGTGGACTATTACGAGGATCGTGAAGCTCTTTACCAACTTGTAGAACTTCTTAAACGCAATCAATATATTAACAACAGTACCCTTGATCCTTGGTTCATTGCTTATGAAAAATGGTTGAATGCCACTAACCACAGTAGTAAGTTGGTTTAATAGTAAAGTGAATGTCTTAGAATCAATTCTGCAAATAATAAATAAATTTTTAATTACAGATGATATTGAAAGTAAAGAAGAGTATTATAATATCCTGACAGAATTTTTGCTTTTGACAAGAGAAGGACAAGTATATGTCAAGGATCTAAAGTTTGATTCAATACCAGCTGGAGAATATAACATAACGGTACTAATAAGCGTTTGGCAATGTATAATTACTTGTATCATCAAAGAAATTACATGTTTCATTTCTTCCTGTTAGACATCACAAATTCCAATACAACACATTATGATTAATACAACGTCGCAGCAAATACAAGCAATGCAATCCATCAGAGAGACGATTCGGGCTACAAACTTCTCTCAAGAAGATCATTATATTGCTATTTTTTCAAACGATTATGTTACGTGGACAGCGAATAAGGTACCGACAGAACATTTCATCTCTTGTTCATAGTAATCTTAGTTACTATTTTTTTACAGATTATAGGAGAAGAATTAGTTAGAAACTTATCTCTAGAAGTAGTGTCTATTGGCTTAGTAATAGTGATATTCCTTAGAAATTTACAGACATCTTTCTGGGTGTTCTGTTGTGTTTTCTTCACTCTCATTGACTTATTAGGTTCTATGTACTTCTTGAATCTGACTGTTGAAATATCTTCGAGCATTATAATTTTACTGTGTGCGGGATTAGCAGTCGATTACGCTACACATATTGGTTTAGAATTTATACGAGTAAAAGGCAGTAAAAATGGTAAGCGGTCATAGGATTTGCTTACAAGATTGAATAACTACATTCAATAACAAATGTAAATGCTTTTTCAGAACGTGCGATCGCCACACTTTCTATTATTGGCCCAGCTGTATTTAATGGAGGCTTAAGTACGTTCCTAGCATTTGTTTTGCTGGGTACTAGTGAAGCATACATATTCAGTACTTTTTTTAAGGTATTACAAGAATATTATTTCTGTTATTTATTCATTTTCCGAAATACATATGAAATTTCAATGTTTCAGTTGTTCACTTGTGTAGTGATATTTGGTCTGTTCCATGGACTATTGTTCTTACCAACCATTTTAAGTTTAGCAGGCCCTAGTGAGAGGTCAAGTAAAGTTAAAAAAAAAGAAGTTGTTGTTTCAGATCATAATGGATATTGTAATGTTCCTTTGTCTCAAACTGAAAAAGGTGATATTTGATAAAAAGATCAAATGTTAGAGAAAAGATGTTTATTAATATTATTTCACAAATTTAATTTTCTTTTTAGATTCTGGAACTAGAACTGCCAAATAAAATTTGACAATATTCAAAAGACTGTTTAGATAAGTACTTGATTACGAAATTCTAGCATATAAATTTCAATCATAAGACCAATGCACATGTACTGTAAAACAGTAGTTTATACATACTTTGTTAATCTATCCTTTTATACAAAACAAAATAGAAATAAAAGAATACCATTCTGAATGTTATGTCCTAGTTATCTTTTTCGCCTAGTTCTTACTTCTGTCCATTCATCATCAACCTTTGCATCCCCAGAAGCTTCTGCTTCACTTTCAGAATTATCATCTTCTACCATAGGTGAACTACGAACTTTTATCACAGGTTCATTTATGACAATCCATGACTGCAGTGGTGGTAGTTTTGCAAACTCTGTCATTGCCATACTTTCATTGCCTTCAATGCAGTAATGATAAAACCTCAATAATTCTTCTGCAACTTGTATTGCGCTGTCATCTTGAAGCTCAGTGTTAAAATGTTCTTCCATATAATCTTCTAGTTCAGTAGCAACTTCACTGCTATTTAGATTTTCTACACAAGTATCATGAAAGAACAATTACAAAATGATTAAAATAAAAATGTAAAAGGCCATGAAAGTACAAACCATTCATATACATAACCTCTGTCATGTAAGGGCAGAAATCTATGGCTCTTTCTTTTAATCCCATTCCATGTTCCACAGCCATCTAATATATAATAAAGATATATTTAATAAAATCTACGTATAATAACGCAACATATACATTTTATCAAAAAATTCTTGCAAAAATAATACACTTACTCTTAATGCAGTCCAATTGCTAAAAATACGTTGTGTGACAGAAAGAAAAAATTCTTTGGTATTTGACATCTTCCTTTCAATTAAAAAATCTTAACACCAGTACTTAATTAAATTATTAGTTAAATTTAAAATACAATCAAACAACATCACGCAGTATATGACACAAAGTGAATACGGCAAGCCAGCCATGTGTTTCCATTCTTTTTCAGTTAAGGTTAGATAAGACTGGATAGAACCAGGTTAGGTTTTGCAATATAAAGTTAGTAATGCTTAGTAATTCATAGATGCTGCAGTTTTTTTTTAATGGTCATATGTATACTTCTAAACATTCCACATTGTTGTAACTACTATTTAAAGGTATTTAAGTTACTATATAAAGTATTTTAATTACTTTTCCTATGTTCATGTGTACTTAAAAATAAATACATGTTCTAAAAGATTTGTTGTGAAGATATGTCAGACGCTTTTGAAGAGATTCAAGCTATTAAAATAAAAAGGAATAGTCTGAGGGAAAAATTGCAGAAAAGAAAACGTGAAAGACATGAATTATTTACCCTTACTTCTGCAACACCAGTATCATCCACCTTAACAAATGAATCACCTCTTGCTGGTGGTAAGTGAATTGATTTATTAATTTTTTTTTTTAAATTCAAGATTTAATTTTCAGACAAAAGTAATAAATACCAACAAATATTAATTGATTTATATTAGATACAGTTGGACACTCACAGCGATCAGATCATAGCGAATATGAACGAGATGTTTTATGCATCTTACACGAATCATTACCAAATTTACCAATCACATCTGCAGAGTTAATAGATCAGCTTCGAAAGAATCTTAATGCAGATGTATGTTCAACAGATATACATAAAATTTTGGAGAAACTAGCAGCACAAGATATTGTTAAGTTAGTAAGTTTCTGCTTTATGATATAATTATAGTTCATTAGCAAAGAATAATAGAAAACTTTTGTAGAATCAAAGAGGTGACAGAAAATGGTGTTTTTGGATATACAGTATTATCAGTGATAGAATCTCAGTCATCATATCAATCTCAATCAGATGATACAGAAAATCCAGAAAGTGCAGAAACATCTGCGTCTGAATTAAATGACTATATGCCTACAGAGAAACAGCCCAAATTGGACAAGAAAAATACAGAAGATATAATGTCTCTTATATCAATGCCTACAATTAGAGAGAAGGAAAATAAGAAGGTTGGGGAGCAAATTTTAGATTTATTATCAAAGCAAACATCTAAAGAAAAATCATTGGCTGAACGATTTCGATCTCAAGGAGGAGCTCAAGTTATGGAATTCTGTCCTCATGGTACAAGAGTAGATTGTGTCAAGTTAAATGGTGGGCCAGGATTTGCAGAAAAATGTAAAAAACTCCATTTCAAGAAAATTATTCAAAGTCACACAGACGAATCTTTGGGTGACTGTAGTTTCCTTAATACTTGTTTTCATATGGATACATGCAAGTACATATCATAAGTGAAGTACAATGTATCAGTATAGTACATATTTAAATTTTTTATTTAAACGTTTTATTGCATAGGTATGTTCATTATGAAGTTGATGGACCAACAACTCAACCAAAAGAACCAAATGAAATGGATACTGCAAGTACTGCCACAGTAACTAAAGGTTTAACATTAGATAGCAAGAATGGTAGTAGTACTAGTTGTCCAACACCTGGTGGATCCTTAGGTAGTGAATTGACTCTGTATCCACCACAATGGATACAGTGTGATTTACGTTATCTTGACATGACAGTATTGGGTAAATTTGCTGTTATAATGGCTGATCCTCCATGGGATATCCATATGGAGTTACCATATGGTACCATGTCAGATGATGAAATGAGACAGCTAGGTATACCTGCACTTCAAGATGAAGGTCTTTTATTTCTATGGGTAACAGGAAGAGCAATGGAACTTGGTAGAGAATGTTTGCAGTTATGGGGATATGAAAGAGTAGATGAAATTATTTGGGTGAAAACAAATCAGTTACAGAGAATAATAAGAACAGGAAGAACAGGTCATTGGCTAAATCATGGCAAAGAGCATTGTCTAGTTGGTATGAAAGGTAATCCAAGAATTAATCGAGGATTAGACAGTGATGTTATTGTAGCCGAAGTTCGTGCAACTAGTCATAAGCCTGATGAAATTTATGGAATTATTGAACGTATGAGCCCAGGAACGAGAAAGATTGAATTATTTGGACGACCTCATAATGTTCAACCTAATTGGATAACATTGGGAAATCAAGTAGACGGGGTTCATTTAATCGATCCTCAACTCATTAAAGCCTTTAAGAAACGATATCCAGATGGAAATTCAATGAAACCTAGTAAACCATAGTAATAATTTTAAATCATTGTAAGATAAATGAATAATTATTTTATTACATAAGTTATAAAAATAAAATTGTGTTTGATAAAAATTAAGGACATTCTTAAATTCTTATAAATCTACCTTTAGGTGTTCTTTAAAAACTCTTTATTTTGGTATTTAAATAGACATATATTGCATTTAAGGAATAGAATAATAGTATATTAAATATAATTACAAATATATAAATTGATGATTTTTTTTTTAAATTTACAATTAGTATAAAAAATATTTGTACATATTTGTTGAACATACTTAGTTCATGCTTAAAGCAGCATAGACATATGCTTTCACATATTGTTATTTTTCTCATAGTGCTCCTATTGGTACATAATTTATATGCATATATATGATTTATATATATTTCATATTAAGTAAGTACATATATTAATATCAACTTATGTCCATTTTACTTAAACCAAAAATGGAATGCAATCTTTAAATATCAAGAAAATTTTTTATATATAATTTATAAAAATTTACAACTGAGCAGATTACAAGAACATAAAAAATATTCTAAAATAGAATGTAAAGTTATTAATATTAAATATAACCAATACTGTTACGTTTTTGTTTCAAAAAACTTCTCTTTAAAGTTAAAGAAAAATGACTTTCACTTATCTTATTAATTGATAATCCAGTAGATTGGTTCGTTTTTGTTGGTGTCAAAATTTGTACATTTTCTTTTTCATTAGTATCAATTAGATTTTCTAACAAATTAATACTATTATAATTAACTTTATTAAAGGAATCAATCCAATGTCTTCTTCCATGTTCATCTTCTGTTGTTAGGATATGATCACCAATTTTAAATCCAAAATTCGCGATAGATTTTTCATCTGTACTTATACAAATTTTTTCTTTAGGTATTACAGGAAAAGATAAATTATACTTTTTATTTAGAGATCTTGTACCACGAGTTATAGCAAAGCCAGTATCAAAAAGGAAGCACTGATATTTCTAAAAAATTATAAAATTTTATTAGATCCATCAACAACATTGAATGTAAATTCTTACCATTCCCTTTGTATCTTTAAGCTGCCCTTCAGTAATTAGCTGTGTTGCATTTTCGATGCACTTATTAGGATCATAGTCCAATTTTACATTAATTTTTGATTGAGCTAATTTACATTCAGCATTTCCCATAGCTTTATCTATATCTTTAAGTAAATTGGATAACATGTCATATGCTTCTTTTAAGGATGATTGATCTACATGTGTTGTAGCAGTATGCCTGAGTATTTCCTTAACCAATAAAGGATATTTAACAATTCTTGATCTTGGCACATCTATATAAGTCCATAAATCAACTGAATGAGAAGATTCTAAACGTTTCTTTAAAAATGATTGAAACCTTTTATTTGTCAACCGTTTTTCATCCAATAATTGTTTGGCCCATATCTGTGTTCTAGATCTTTCTAAGTATGGTTTTATTAATGTTGGAATCTATAAAAATTATAAAACAGACATAAATTCAACAATTGTTTAATGCATATGATATTAACATTTCATAATAACTAACCCAATTTAATAATGTGGGTCCAACACTATCTGTATATCCACACTGATCTCTTAGATCAATCAATTTATCCCTTAATCTGCTATGTATTTCAATAAGTTGTGTTATATTACCAAAAAGTGTCACTAACTCATCAGAAGTGAAAATACCAGTAGATATCAATGGTTCATAATAATAATCTCTGAGAATGCATAAATCATTTATGAATACATTTTCTCCACAATACAATTCATATATAGCTTCTTGTCTTTTAACTTCTTTTCTACTTAAAGAGTAATTAGATTTGTCTTTGGTACTTGTTTTAGCTATATCAAGTACCCAACTCTTAAGAGTAAAACTGTTAGTGCATTCAATATTCTCTTTTTTCCTAAAAATTACAATAACAAATAAATAATAATAAATACTTCTAAATCTGTAAAAAGATATGACTTAAAATCTTATACTTTTTCTTCAATGTTCCTGTGTCTGCTTCATTTTCTCCAAAAGTTAAATCTGTTGTGCTTGGTTGAATAGTAAAAGACCTGTGGAGAGTATTTCCTTGTTTCGTACTAATGGCAGAAGAAGAAAAAATACTGCTAGCTACTTCTGTGATTCTTCTTCGTTTTTTCTTTTTTCCCATCTCTGATTCAATAGATATGTCCATTGAACTAATACTAATGGCATCACTTTTTGGACGTTTTCTAGAACGCTAATTTAATATAAAAATAATAAGTAAACATAGTATAACAAATTACATATTATATTATTGTCTTAAATAATTCAAAAACTGAAAACTTTAAACATAAAAATGACGAAGATCAACAAAAAATATTCTTGGTTAAACCTCTGTTGAAATAATAACAAAGGTTATTTTGAATATTATTGTTAGTACATGAATACTCACCAGCCAAAATTTTTTACGAGGTTCTTGAAAAGCATCTTTGATTGTATTATTACTATCATCATACATTTCTTTCAAATTTTTAAAAATCCATGCAGAATTTGAAATGAGTGCAATTATTCATAGGTATTCTACCGGTGGCAACGGTTAAACTACGCAGGTCTTTCAGAAGAATGATCCATCACTACAAACTTGGCAGACGTAAACTCTAGAATATTTTTTAAAATTATTCTAGCATGGTGGTTTCTTTAATTTTTACCGTGTGTTTTATTGCAATAATACTATACGTGAGGTAGGAAAAAATCTATATTACACATAAATTGGGGGCGTCGTTTAGTCACGTTAGTCATTCGTACTTTTTATTGAAAAAGCATACTTAGAATAAATATTAATAGAATTAAGTTTAATGTTTCATATTAATTATTTTGTACAGTATCTGTTTGGGTACTAACATGTTTTATTTAAAAAAATGTTTTATCTACAAATTTGTAATCTTATCTTTGTTCAGTTGCATACGTTGAAAAGAGACAGTATGATAATTTCACTTCCAAACGTTACAACTGTTTTGAATTTGTACCGCCATATTTAAGTTGACATATTATTTGGCATTTTATGAATAATTTTAATTAACTTGCACATATTTTTGTGTGAACTTGAAAACAGGCAAAGTATATTTTATTGTTTGATAAAAATCTGTGTGTACTATAAGGTTTATAACTGCATTTAAACACGTGTTAAATGAAAAGGTTAGGATAGGTAACAGTGCATATAACAAGACCAGTTGAATTCATGAGAGAACATCATCACCGAATTACGAATTTTCGTTCATTCTGCGCAAGTTAGGCAGATAATGCGCATGTGCTTTTGTGCGTTTTCTATGATGAACAAGTATATCCAGTGGTCTTTTATTTTTAAACTTTTATGAACCGAGAATCACTTCCAAAAATTGTACCTGTAATGCATTATTTTATAAATTCTTAAAATCTCAAAGTCTTCAAGTTTCAAAAGTCTCAAAAGATTCTGAAATTTCAAAGTATTAAAGTCTCATACCTTGAAAGTTTCAAAATTTAAAAATTGTATCCACCATGTATATGACCGATGACGTAAGAAGTGAGTCACAGAAACGCGACGTGAGTGGCAGGCGTGCTATATGCACTCATTCATGGTGCGCAAAACGTTACCGTTCTCTCGTGAATTCAAATGTAGATGTATAATTAAAAATCATTTGTTTTATTGGTATTTTTAGAAAAAACGAGGAACAGCAGAAGCAATGTCGTTCTAATAAAATTACTACTAAAGGAACCATGGGTGAAAAAGATAGGCAAAATAATCATCGGATTACCCCAAACACGCAACGGAATGCGCCTGGTCGTAATTGGGAAATATTTAAGAATATAGTATTTAATTCATCACCGCTAGAGTCGAATACTTCTAGCAAAGAAAATGTTAAAAAGAAATCAGTTTCCCATCAGAAAGTAAGGAAGAAGCATCATTCCTCTATATTGAATGAAGACCATGTAACACAATTTAATGACGAAGAAGTTTACGATGAAAATAAGAAGAAACTGACTAAACACATAGCAATAGATTGTGAAATGGTGGGCATAGGCGATGGTACAGAGAGTATGTTAGCTAGAGTATCTATTGTAAATCGCCATGGCTTTTGTGTGTACGATAAGTATGTAAAGCCAAGAGAACCTGTACAAGATTATAGAACTAAAGTTAGTGGTATTCGTCCTCACAATCTTCAGAATGGAGAAGAATTTGAGATTGTTCAAAAAGAGGTAGCAGAAATTTTAAGAGGCCGTATTTTGGTTGGTCATGCATTGAAATATGATCTTGCTGTATTGTATCTATCCCATCCAAGAAAACACTTACGTGATACTTCAAGGTTCAAAACCTTTCGACAGTTGTCCAGGGGAAATACACCCAGTTTAAAGAAGCTTGCATATGAATTATTAGGTAGAGAAATACAAACAGGAGAGCATAGTTCAGTTGAAGATGCAAGAGCTGCAATGCAATTGTATGTACTGTATAGAAATAAGTGGGAGTCTGAATTCTATTCTAAACGATAACTTAAATTAAAAATGAGATGTCTACCTCTATCACTGAGATGCTCTACAAATCTTACATATATGTGACATCATTTCATTAATTTAAATACTTTTTAAAAGTATTATACTTTTTAAGCATAAGATTGTGGATAATCAACGAAAATGTGTTTTATATCAAGTATTGTATCAAATAATTTAATTCAATTATCCATGATTATGATAAGGACCAGTTTTCGATAACTTCATGCTCTTGACAATAGTTATAAATTTGGAGTCATGAACTTACATGAACTAAGTCTAAGTATAACTAAACTGTAAATAAAAAATTGTTATCAAAGTGTAAACACTTGTGTTAAAAAATTGCAAAATATATTTCTTTTTCAGATACATCTCACGTGGTTATTTATCTTATTTTAGTAAATTTAAAAAAAAATCGTTTTATTCCTTTCTATGCTACAGTTGTTAACTAATATGAGAGTAGTCATGATCACTGCTGGATGGTAATATATTACAATAAAACGGACCAAGTAGGAGGCTTACTCAAAACATAATTAATCCATGCCACTATGTATTAACAGTTTTGGATAAATAGTAAATTCCTTCTTCCCTGCTCACTTGAAGATTAATTAATGTTAATAATTTGTATTAAGTAGAACGATTATTCTGACGGAGCTGACGATTATCCGATTACCGAATATGCCCGAGATTTTTATGTTACACGTAAACGCTCCTCGATCTATTATAATCGTTTAAAATTTCGTCAACACATTTGGGTAATTCCATTGATAATTTTAAGATGTACTTAGCATTTAACAATTCAGAATGCGTGTTAAACAACACGCAATGCTACTATCTATCTAATTTCACTAAAAGAAGCTATTGCGATTGCTTTATCTATCAAATATTTAGAATCGAAATATCGCGGTATAATGGTATATAGAATGGTTTAAACTGTAACGCTTCTTAAGCTATTATCGAGTGCAGTACAAATAATCCTTATCGATAAAGTACAAGTAGATCCAAAAAATCAATTTAGTTTTATCAAATTATTAATATGTGTTCAACTTGTAAAACTTGCTTTTTAAAATTAGTAACAAACAGTAAACGTACTAGGAGGAATTAAAATTCATTAAAGTTTTCAGGGTTGATGCAGCAGCCTTTAGCGTGTCGCGAAAGGCAATAAACTCGTTGATTTTTTCTACTTCCATAGCGGCAATTCTATACGGATTTCTCGTATATAGTAACATGCGTGGAAGACAAGACGACCTTGTTATCAGTAACAGCCTCCGTTCGAACGATATACTTCTGCTTTCTGTACACTGATTATTTTACGATTGGTCATTTCGTATTTCTTCACCGCGTGCAGTGCATCGACTCCGTCAACAAGTCCGTACCGTTCTTGATCTATACTTTTTCCTTGTGTAAGTAACATATTAAACGGTAGACAATAATTTCAATATCGTTAAACAATAGCAATTTTTAATTTACATTGTTTTATGCGCGTTTTTATAGTATGTTTTATTAACTGATACGGTATCTTTCAGTGTTTGAACATCTATTAAAACTGTGTACCTTTGGCATTTTATGCAAGAAACTCACGTAATAGTAAAGAAAGTCTACTATCCAAGAAAAGAAGAAAAAAGAGGGAACGTTCATGCTTGTAACTTTCGATCGCACCTTTCCCATTTGTAACTCGACCGTGTATACCAATGCATTGCATTGTCAATTGAACTTGTGATTTCAACGTAAATATATATTTTTATTTGGAAGAAATAACTAACGAGCGATACGCGTTAAATTTATCTCCGTTCGGGCGCTACCGAGTCAAGAGAAGAGACGCTCAAAAGAACGTAGGGTAGCAAAAGTAATATTGTTAGCTGCAATAAGATTTTTAACGAAAAGCAAAATTTTGTTAAGTCTCCAAACATAAAAGTTTGATCACAATTCGTAAGAAACATGAAAATTGCTGTGATCGGTGCTGGTTCCTGCGGTCTCGCAGCCCTACGGCATTGCACTTCCGGTGCATATGACGTTGAAGTAGTTTGTTACGAAAAAACGGACCAAGTAGGGGGTACATGGGTTTACAGGGAAGAAACTGGTTTGGATCGATATGGTTTACCGATACACACTAGTATGTATAAAAATTTAAGGTAAAGTCAATTGTAATAACAGTGGAGAATTAAATTTTTGATATCAAGTTTATCACCGAAACTTAATAGTCATTCTCTTATCATTTATTATTTTGCAGAACAAATCTTCCAAAGGAAGTAATGGGGTATCCGGATTTTCCTGTTCCGAACTCACCCGAAAGCTATTTGACTCGTTCGCAAATGCTTAACTTTCTGGTTTCGTATTGTGACCATTTCAAACTTCGTCCATATATCCGGGTATCTTATCAACTTTACTAATCGAGCCGTTCACCATCAAGAAAATAATAAAAGTTCACTTTACAGTTACTTCACAACGTGGAACTAGTAGAACCATCTAATGGGGACCGGAAGTGGACGGTCAAAGTGAAAGATTTAAAGAACAACGTCGTCTTAAACGAATCATTTGACGCAGTTATGGTTTGCAATGGACATTACTTCGAGCCTAGCTTCCCAAATTTGAAAGGTCAAAATGTTTATCAAGGGAAGCAAATGCATAGTCACGATTATAGGGTTCCGAATACTTTCCTTGACAAAAACGTGGTTGTTATTGGGGCTGGTCCTTCTGGTACGTTACCCTGACACGTTAAATACTTATCGTAATTCGTGTATGATAAAATAAAAAATAACAGGTATGGACTTGGCTTTGGACATATCGGGATACGCGAAACGCGTGTTCTTGAGTCACCATTCAAGAGACCCCATAGGCACCGTATTTCCATCTAACGTTACACAGGTGAAGAAAGAAATAAAAAGAGTACCATAAAAGATTTTATCATTGTTACAATTTTCAGAAACCAGACGTGAGAGAGCTAACTGAACAGAATGTAGTGTTCAAGGATGGTACCAGCGAGCCGGTGGATATAGTTTTTTATTGCACAGGTAGTTTTGTTTAAAGTTTATGTATAAATTGTTACAAGCAGAACCTCATCTTATGTAAAGCTAAGAGACTTGACGCATATAAAAAAAATCGCTCTCTACGCACGAGGACACCTCTCATTATTTTATTCGATTTGTCAAAGGGTACAAATACAGTTTTCCTTTTCTGAGCGAAAAGTGTGGAGTTCGAGTTGACTCCAACATGGTGACACCGTTGTGGAAGCATCTTATATCGATCAAAAATACCAGTCTTGCTTTGGTCGGTCTTCCCTACTACGTTTGTGCCTTCAATATGTTCGATCTGCAGGTATAACGCGATGAAACACGATCTTAACGCTTGCGTTAACAACCAGAATGATGCCTTTATTGAAAAATAGATATCTAGATCGTTATAGTTAAAATTTTTTAATTCCAAGATAAAGCATGATAAATTGAAAGTTATTAACACAAGTGTTGAAACAAAAAATTAGGATTATTAAGAAGTTATCGATCGATGGTAGGTACGATTCGTCCTACAATATTGGAGCGGCAAGAGAGACTTCCCCTCCCAGGAGGATATGTTGCGTGAAGAGGCGGAAGAGTTGGAAAATCGTGCAAAAGAGGGTCTTCAGAAAAGGCACTTTCACATGATGGGATTTAATCAGGATCGTTATTACGACGATCTTGCAAATACCGCAGGAATCACGCCATTACCACCGGTGCTCACGAAGCTTCACAACGAAAGCAGTACAAATTTCTTGGATGACCTGGTGCATTATCGCGAAAAAAAGTACAGGATTATCGATGACTATAACTTCATTCAGCTTTGAAATGCGTCATAATTACTGCCCAGCGAATATTGAACGACCTAATATATATTGTATAAAGATATTTTGTATTCTGAGCAGATCCAATTACAATGATTATATAATGTAGACTAAATGCTGCTTTCTGTTTGCTATCCTATTATAATGATAGAATTATACAAGAATTGTAAAGAAATTATTACCCGTAAAGTGTAAAAATGGTATGAACTGAATTCTAATTAGAGTAACAGTACATTTGAGTTAGATTTCTGAGAAGCATGTTTGCCACGTATGTTGTAATATTTCTATGCATAAGATCATCTTGTGTTGTATTTTCGTGCGGTAGGCGTTGTATCTGCACTCGTATTCCCACACGCTATACCTTCATATATCATTTTTATGCGCATTTTTTTCAACGTTGTATCTTTATGCATTTTTTTCTATGTGATGCATCACTGACCTGCATTGTTACAGTTCATATTGCCTACTAGTAACTTATAAAATACAAAACTGGAACTAATAATTTGTTGCAAAAAGTGTGTGCACATCTTGTACTGCACACTGTTACAATTCTTGTATTTTACAGAACAATATAAATGCATTTGTATGCATTTTATGATTAAATATCCCGCCATAAATTAGTTAGTGCATGATCCAACCGCAAGATGATGCCTGAACGCAATCGTTGGTTAAATGCCTCGATTGCGTGCGGTGCAGTGTTGTGTGTGATGTAGCTGTGTAACGAGCGCGAGTACATTTCACTCCATTATCATTTCGAAATGATGAGCATTTCCGCGGTCCCGAAGTGATTCAGTGCCGAAATATTTCAGCCCGTTTTGACGGCTGAGCCACGATGGTTGAATCAATAGGGAAGCACATGGAAAGGAGTCAGTGTGAGTAAATCTCGGTGGAAAAAATATTTACGGAGTACATGTTTTAACTAGTTCGTACTATCGTTATTTTCTACGTTAGAGAATTTCGCGTGCAGCTTCCACCGTTCATAATTCTGTATGAGTGGCACTATAACTGCGGTCTAAGGATACTCGTGAAGTGTCGACTGTTTATCGTATTTGCGCATTTTCAAAGGCTATAAAAATTTGATTTATGTCGAGAATCACGATATTACTTTTCTAGATAGAAAGTTGCATTCAATGATGCGCGATATGTGGGCTACGCACAGACTCTCTCGGGTGAATGCATTCGTAAGAATGCATTCACGTCCGCCGTATGTCGTGTTCCTCTCCTGCTTTATGTAATTTTACTACGGACACCTGTCCGTCCGGATTCAGAACATCGTAAATTTCGGCGTTCGAATAACGACGTGGAGGAGGTAGCTTTGCTGTTACTGTCAACTGTTTTCATTTTCCTTATCTGTCAAATGTTTGGAATAACCGATAAAGAAGTTTTCGGTTGTCGGGAGCCTGCCGATTTGGATAGCATGATTATTGAGCGCACGCAACTGAACTTAAAATAACGTGAACAATATTCTCGAACTTATTCTTGAACTATTTCATTATTATTTAACAGGGTATTAGGGTGGAATTAAAGAAATTAATAAAATGGCTACAAAAACAGAAGACACAACATCTATTGATAATACCAATGATGGTATAAAAATGATCATTTCTCATTCTTCCTAAATATACCACTGTATATCATTGTAATATGTACAATTGTAGGAGAAAGTATGGACAAGGAGGTATTAGCAATTAGTGGAAACGATGAAACTGGTCATCGTATTCCACCTACATATTTGTATAATTCAAGTTCTGAACAAAACACAGGGATATCTAATCAAGAGCAAAGCAATAGAAATCGTGCTCAAGCTACGGAAGATCAGTTAGGACCACTGCCACCAAATTGGGAGAAAGCTTACACAGACACAGGAGAAATTTATTTTATAGAGTATATATAAAATGACTTAACTTATGATAGTAGATTATATTTATTTTACAATTATTTGAAATATTTATGTTTACCAATGATTATTCCACAGCCACAATACAGGTACTTCCCATTGGCTAGATCCTCGTTTATCTAAATTTCAAAAAAGATCTCTTGAAGAATGTTTGGACGACGAATTACCTTATGGCTGGGAGAAAATAGATGATACTTTGTATGGTACATATTTTATTGATCATGTGAACCGTAGAACTCAATATGAAAATCCTGTGTTGCAAGCCAAAAGGGCACAACAAAGTTTGGGAGAACGAAAAAGCCCTAATTTTACAAGAAATCCTGATAAATTAAAGGGTCAAAGAATAAGAACAACATTGATAAAAAGTTCAAGAGGACTAGGATTTACTATTGTTGGTGGAGATGATTCGGTTGAAGAATTTTTACAAATAAAAAGTGTTGTACCAAATGGTCCAGCATGGTTAGATGGAAAATTGCAAACTGGTAATATACAAAGTTATGTAAAAAGATCACTTTTAATAACAGCATAATAAATTCTTAAACAAATTATAATTACAGGAGATGTCTTAGTGTATGTTAATGATACATGCGTCTTAGGTTTTACTCATAATGAAATGGTAAATGTTTTTAAATCAATTGGTAGTGGTGAAACTGTTACATTAGAAGTATGTCGTGGTTATCCATTACCATTTGATCCAAATGATCCAAACACTGAAGTTGTTACTACTATTGCTGTCAATGCTCCAGGTAAATTTTTGATTAAATAATAGCATGTTTTTGGTAGAAGAATAAATTCTATTTCCTCAGATATTTTAACAGAAGATCCCAGAATGTACATGGATCTGGATCCTGCTTTACAAAATAACGGTCGTTTTAATTTCCTGGATTCTACACTCTTGCCAGTACATGGTCTTCAAAACGGTGAAAATCTTGCAACAACGTCGGTAAATTCAATGCCAGATCTTTGTATTTCGGATAAAATTAATACGATTAAAAGACCCAGTAGTACAGATATATTGATGTCTGAAAGTGATTTGAATGACTGTAAAGATTCAACAATGTCTTCCAAACCAGAATTTCTCAGTATTGCAATTGTAAAGGGAACTATGGGATTTGGATTTACGATAGCCGATTCTGCTCATGGCCAGAAAGTTAAAAAAATTTTAGATCGTCAACGTTGTAAAAATTTGATGGAAGGTGATATTTTAGTTAACATAAATGACATAAATGTAAGAAACATGTGTCATTCCGAAGTAGTACAAGTTTTAAAAGATTGTCCTCGTAACGAAGAAGCGTTAATACATGTACAAAGAACAACATCAAAATCAAATGAAAAGAAAGAAAAAAATTCACAGGACTTTTTCAGAAGTAAAACACCAACTGCTGACATTTATAGCACTCAGACAAAGACTGTTGTACCAAGCCGACCAAAAACACCGCTTATCGACACTAGAAATCATCCGAAGTCACCAACAAGTGCAATGAGGTCAAACTGGAATGAACAGAGCGAAAATGAATTAAATCCCTTAGATAATCGATACAAATATTCTGAATATACTCATGGCATGTACTATACCGATCCCTATAAAGCAAATATTACGAACTTGTCCGATAATTTTGCAACAATGACGAATTTAGACGATGATCCTGTACGAAATACGACTAAAAGAGATTGGGTGACAAGTGATAAGTTAAATATAAATAATGACGTGTATTCTATTGATATACCTCATCATGATAATATGTTAAAACAAAATGGATGTCTACATTCAGATTACTATAAAGATTTGTATACATCACAATCTCATTCTCAATATAGTGAACAAGATTATAATGTATATTCTATTGGTCAAGAGCAAAATGTTGATACCGGTGAAATATGGGATAAACGGAAAGAAACTACTAGTTTTGAGCACGAGCAACCACATTCCAGTTCCATACCTCGGTAATTATGAATATACTGAGTTAACTATATTGGTTCTAACAGAAATAATAAATTTTAGGTATCCTCAATATAGCAACGAGTTATTGTGTCCAATTGTGCCTGATATAGAGTGGATAGAAACATTGGTAACTTTAGTAAGGCAAGATACAGGATTTGGATTTAGAATAGTAGGTGGTACAGAGGAAGGATCTCAAGTGAGTTAATAAGTTATTATTACTTTCAATCAAGAGAAATCAAAGATATTGATAATGTGATTGTTAGCAGGTTTCAGTTGGACATATAGTACCTGGTGGTGCAGCAGATTTAGATAATCGACTGAATACTGGTGATCTAATTATGTCTGTTGACGGTGAAAGCGTTATGAATTCGTCGCACCACCACGTTGTTCAATTAATGATAGCTGCTGCTCAGAATGGTAGAGTTACTTTGGGAATACGCCGCAGAATTAATACGCAGGATCATCTTCCGGAAAACCTTCAAACACCGTACAACAGACAAATGAATCTCCAGTATCCTTATGATGTAACAGTTACTAGAATGGAAAATGAAGGTTTTGGTTTTGTTATTATTTCCTCGGTTAATAAAGCTGGTTCAACAATTGGTAGAATAATCGAAGGATCTCCAGCGGAAAGATGCGGACGATTGAATGTTGGAGATCATATTCTTGCCGTTAATCATGTAGATATAACAAATGTATGCCACAAAGATATAGTGAACTTAATTAAAGACTCCGGATATTCTGTTACTTTAACGATAGGTTACCCTCTTGACGATTGTTGTAGTAATACATCTCTATCGCAAAAGGTAGTATTTGATCTTGATCGTACTTTTAATACCTAACACAATATAATGATTATATAAAATGAATTACAGGATGAACCAACATGTGACGGAGATGGAGGTCAGTATCATGCGGTTGAATTAACCCGTGGAACTAGAGGATTTGGTTTTAGTATTCGCGGAGGACGTGAATTTCAAAATATGCCATTGTTTGTTTTACAAATCGCTGAAAATGGTCCTGCGTCTGTTGATAATCGATTAAGAGTAAGTACACCAGTACTAAATTACGATAATTTAGTATATATCTTAATAATGATGATTGTAGGTTGGTGATCAAATAATTGAAATAAATGGAATCAATACTAAAAATATGACACATACGGAAGCAATTGAAATTATACGAAATGGTGGACCATCTGTTCGGCTTTTAGTTCGTCGTGGTTGCCAGATGCCTTCAGTGGTAGGTGCTCCTCCACACCTCTACGATATGAATATATGAAATTAACCATTCTAAATAACATCATATTAATCTATACAAAATTAACGATATTTACTTTTGCAAATGTCGATACTAATGCTAACGTTACCCTTATATAACTTTCCCTCGTAATTTTACACGAAGCTTCAAAGTTTAACATTAGGTACCATAAGAAAAAAAAACAAAAAACAATTAAAGACAATACGAGAAAGAAAAGAATGATTGCAAGAGGTTGTTTTATTGCAGTGAGAGTTAGATTAATACTGTTTTACAGTACTATGACATTCGGTACAGAAATATCTGGTGCAAAAGGGAAACAGTGTGTTATATTGTATATTTATGGAGTTGGTTATACATATTATACGTAGGTATGTAGTAAGATATATACTTTTTATACGCGACACGTCGAAATCAATTTTTACAACATTTACATGTCGTGCAGCTTCTATATTTGATAATATATTATTTACATGATCATTAGAGCTTCAAATGATATATTGCAATTAATATTAGTATATAAATACCGAGGACATGGTTGTTGATTCTCAATGAAATTATACTTTATAATGGTATTAATATTAATTATATATATACATATATATATATATATATATACATATTAATTGTAATGTTTTGATAATTAAAATAGGAAATCTTTATACATTTTAAGTTGAAGAAAGGAGTGCGTAAACGACTTTTCTTGCAGCTATAAATATGACTTACGAAAAGTCCGATTTATAGGGATGATACTTGCTCACTCTAACAAAATTGGACTGGTGCTAACTCTGTATTTAAATGATATAATTTCTGAAAGAAAAAAAAACAAATATTAATTCATCCTAACACGTGTGATAGCTTGAGAGTATTGTGCCTTGCGCGTGTTCCATATTTAATAACAAAATTATTAAGTAAAAGCTTAAGCTTTTGAAGTGATTATAAATTTGTATTAAACTTCATTGTAGAGTAATCTCACAATCGACCAAATAAGTATTCGACCGATTGATGAGGGCACCCCACGCAGGCATTTATTCAAATTACACGAGGTGGGTGTGCACCCTAAAAAACGTCAGAAAGTTCGACTTTTCATTTTACTCAACTGCTGTTCATCCAAAAATAGATATTTATGATAAGCATGTTTAGTATATAAACGACTATAAACGGTATTTTCATCGCATTTATATTATTAAGATAAGTTAATATTTCATAAAATCAAATATCAAGAATCTCCAAGATGGTTCGCTACGTATTTAAAGGTTTTGCATTTTTCTAAACCAATTTATATTAGAAATTATTGTACAAGTGTACAAATGTGTAAAGAAATATGATAAAAATGTAAACATTAAGGCAGTACAATCTATTTGTAATGGCAAATAGCATTGATACCCGTGAAACATTATAAAAGTTAACTATTTTATAATCTTAATAGGAGGATAGTTATACATTGATAAATTTTAGAACAAAAGGAATTTCGGACTGAAAAGATCTAAAATAAATATTTCATTGTATGTAGTAATTGCATAAGTTCCATTATGAACTCCTACAAGTGTACAATTTTTATGAATCTCATAGTATATTATTCAGTGTTTTATCAACTCTATTTTTTTGAGCAGCATTTGAATGATACTGTCGATATCGTTTTTCTTTTTAAGTATTTATTATGACTGTATGAAATATATAGCAATAATTAAATTAAGTACTGATACAACCAAAGAAGCAGATGCACTTATCAACCATTTAAAGATGCAGTGCAGAAGATCAATGTAAAGAGAACTTATTGCAACATTAATTATTTAATGTTTCCTGTTGGAACAATTTTTCATTAACGATTGCTCGATAACATTTATAAATAAACAAATGATGATGGAGAATCTTCTATCAAAATAATCTCGTCCGATCTTTTATTAAAACATGTTATATATGTAAAAACTAATAAATATATTTTTTTACTAGTAGATCAGTAATAACTAGGAAAAGAAAGTTGTTCGGTAGAATGCGATAAGCAGTGTAAATCGCGATGAATTATATTATACTTTTAAAACCTTATCAGGCACTCGTGAAATCTGAACGTAAAATCTCCATTGTTCATTATTTGTTTAAGTAAACAATTTTACCATAATATCATGTCAATGATGAATAGCGATAATCGCATTTAAACCAGATTATATTTCAATTACATTATAGCTATTATCCTTATTTTTTTATAATTAATATACATATATATTCGCGTATACAATTGTATATTATGTAGGATATAAACTGATTGTAAATATATACATAAACATTTCAAAAAAGGTCGTATGATATTGATAATTATGTTTCATGAAGAAAGCGATAACTGTTCAATTAAAATGTATCGATGATTTTTGTAATTTGATTATTAAACAAAACTCCATGTCTTCTGTAGTTACAATTTTATCTCTTGCCAGGATACATAATCTGTACTTATAAACTGAAAGTACTTCATCATCGAATGTTACTTTATCTTGTCACTGCCGTGTAATTATGTAATTTCTCTGACGCATTTCATATTTATTACAAAGAATTATTCAATATTGTACATGTTCGTTGATACTATTGACTCCCGTTAATTGTAATGACACGAATAAATTCGAAAACTGGATGTTGTTTTGAAAATGTTAGTGTACCATCATTACATCATTGTTGATAAATGTACCAATAATAAATACAAATAACAACAACGAATCTGTTTTTCACTTCAAATTAATAGTAGGCAGTGTAAGGATAGCTTGATCATAATGAATCAGAAATTTTTCTTATTTCTGTTTACCATCAGTACCAAAAATAAGTTATTTATTTCAATAATGATTATTTTCTTTACTTTCTAATGGTTTCTTATAGAGTTATCTGATAGAAATGAAGTGCTACAGTACACCGTAAGTTATAGAATAATAAAATTATTATAATTACATAGTAAAAAGATGATTTCAAAAACGGCGCTTAGTAGAAGATATCGTTGTCAGCAATGAAGCCTGCGCCTACATTTCCGAGAATGCGGCGCTTGACGTCTCTTCGTGACGTCAACCAATATCGTCAAGCTGCAACACCGAAACTTGCATTTTTCATGTTTCGCAAGTTTCGATGTATTCAAAATGATTAAAAATCTATATGTAGGAACTATTTCAAATGTTCTTATTTTACAATAATCGAGCGAAAAATTCGTAAAAACACATTTGCTATGTCGTTCGATTTCTTACAAAGGATTATCGATAAGTTGGTACCACTGTCGATTGATCGCACGTATTTTACTCAGAATGTGTATCACATATATTTATTCCTGGGTCCCTCTGGGCGAATGTAAACAGAATTTTTTCGCAAATATGAAGTGACACGGCCGATTTATGCGGCTGCGACTCGTGCGTGGAAGCTGCGATTTGTGATACTGTGCGCGGGTTACTCCACCAGTTCTCGAGACCTCCAGTATATTAAGGGTTTTGAACGCGTTACGGTGACCAGAAGAATATACCCAGCGGGTAAAACAAGTTCGCGTTTGACCGCCCGTAGTGTATTACATTCAGTGAAGTAGCGTGGAAACGGTTTAGAATACGTGCAAGTGCAATGAGGGATCTGCAGAAATTCGTCGATGACTTTTTGACGGTGAGTACATCGAAACGACTGGCATCCGTGAGCGGACTACTTTGGACTTTCCCAACTCTCACGAAATATGTCGTATCGACTGATAGCCCATAAAATAAGCCTATACCTTTTCAGCACCAGACTTTCCTAATTGATCGAATGCATATTTCTCCTTCGCTATATAACATACTGCAACGTTTCGTGTGATGTACACGTATACGTGCACGAGTCGTGTTACATACATTGTTCTGCATGTTTGTCTCGTGTATGTTAGGCCAGCATTCATCAGACAGCGCACACAACCACACAGACATATACGCGTAATAAGATAGAATACGAGCTGCGGGTATCTACATGGGAAAGCGTTACGCCGTGGACACAGCGTACGCTCGTAAATAAACGAATGCAATGCTTTTAACGCGATACGCGTCTCAAATATCTGGGAGAATGCTCCATAGTTTCATTGTAGAAATGACTGTATTATACTTTACCGAACGATTTGTGTACGAGTCGTATACGTGCTTCTTCCTGTACATATATTACATACACATGTATATATTTCTTTCTTTTTTCCCCTCCTTTTTCTCACTTATACTACTACTGTGATGTCTGATTACGTTTTGGAATTATCAGTTTTCCTATTAATTTGATAATTATTATTCCAATAAATAACAGTATCATCATGATCAAGTCATGATCACTGAAAATATTTAAACAATATATTGATAATACAACAAATTTCATACATACATTTGTTGGTTGTGTTCCTATTACATTTAATTGGAATTATTATTATGTAGTATTTTTAAATTAGTATGCCAATGTATTTTGATATATTTAAAAAGATTGATTGACATTGTTAACAAATTCTTTTGGATATGTATTGCAAATATTTGCAAAGAGAGTAGACACAAATAAAATATACGATTAATTTTCTATTAAATTAAAATAACAGATTTATTGAAAGCTGGATTATGTGAACTTTCTGAAAATCTTTTATATGTACTATACAATGGTATTCAAGCCGCTTAATGAATAATTCATTCCACAATCTTTTATCTGGACAAGTTATCTCTCTGATTTTAGTTTGTCCATTTATTTGGTATGCGTTTATGGTACAACACCCTAGCATACAAAAGCACCATTTTATACATATATCTATAGTGTGATATTATTTCTGATGTTTTAATATAAACATTAGGATGCAATGACATTATGATCTATCAACTTTATTAAGTAGATAAATATATCTGTCAAAAATACTTTTGTTTTATTATTCAATAAAATAAAATATTGATAAAAGATATATTGTGTACATTATTGTTGTTGTAATTATGTAAGAACCAAAGTATATCTGGATCCCTTAAATTTCCAAATATTATTTAGCTATGTTTGGTATGGAGCACTGCTATGCTATTATCCGACTTATACCAGACAAAAGTCTTAGTTATGCCAATGTACGTTACTTACATAAAATTTAATTAACACGTTCCATACCACATAGGGCATATATGACCCATGTTGAACTTTCTATTCAGATTGCTTGGAATTCTGAATGAAAAAAAATTATAAGGTTTTTGTCAGGAACAAGTTATCTGTTCCATTACGGAATGTGTTAATTAAAATAGTATGTTATCTATGTCACTTTTCCTTCTAAGATACTGCTTTCATAATGACTTATTGGAAATGCATAGTGTAAAAATATGAGTGATATGTTGTGACCTTAAATTTACCAATCAGAAGTAGGTTTCATCTCATTAACTGCCTTGTTATCTTCATCTCCTAGAGTATAAGGATTCAGTTATGGTTCAGCTGTGGTGTCATACTCTTGCATGCTAAATTAGAAAAGTTTTTTTCAATTCTATATGTGTTTGTATTGAACTGTTATTTATCGTGTGTGTTTTATTATTAAATTTGTTTTGTAATATCATCATTTGTTTTCAGTGATGGGAGCACAAGATGTCTTCGACCAAAGCAGATCCCAAAAGACTTTTTCAAGAAATGTTTCAATTTTCACTGTCAACTGCAAAAAGTACATCAGAACATGATTTTGATAAATCGCTGAATGTGCATAGAATAACAGAGACTTTGTACAGTAATTCTGAAAAATGTAAAAATGATAGTACATTTTCAACAAATAATACCTGTCTCCCTCAGAAGGAAGACATTATTAACAGGATAAAAAATGATTTGTGTGACACAGCTGAATTTTCAGCAACTATTAAGTATTCTTCTGATATATGTTCAATTAATCATTGTATGTTAAGCAAAGATGTTAATTTTAATAGTAATTGTGATATAATGAATTATCAAAAACACAAAAAAATCTCACAAAGTTATTTGTGTTCTAATATATATAATTTAAGAAGAATTCAAGCAGATAAAAATTTGCTACTACCGATTACTAAAAGAATCGGTATACAGTGGAGGAATTCTTTCTTAAGAACTTTTTTAATTCCTTTTGTTGTTTTATTATTATGTACAACATTATGCAATGCAGATTCAAATCAGTGTGCAATTGGTCTAAAAACACCTGGAAGTAAGTTTAATTCTTATCATTTTCAATAAAAAAAAGAGCTCATAATGAATGTAAAGAACAACAGTATATTTGCAAATTGAAATAAATGCTTGCATTTAAGCTCTTGTATCTTTCTAATGTAACTGAGTTTATAAATACAACGTACAGCTTATTCCTCCTTTTGGAATTCTAGTGTTGGTGCTAAATGCATATATCTATATTTAATACACTGGATGTACAGTATGAGCTAAAACTTGAAGTAAAGTCACTACATATTTATCTGTATACTTAATTTAAAACATCAAATATAAATCAGTTATTCATAGGATATCAATTAATTTTGATTTTAAATGTAAATATTTTTTTTATAAGGGACTTGGCCACAAGGTGATATTGTTCTTGAATATGGCCAATCTTTGAGAATACTTTGTATATTGAATCAAACATTTGTGGATGCTGAATTTCCTGGAAAGAACTCCTCAGATCTTGTCTTTTTTCGAAATGAAAAGGAAATGGAGCCACAATTTATTACAGTTATAAATGAAACCACAATATCATTAGATGTAGGAAAACCTCCACCTGCAGAAAATATGTATTATTGTAAATTAAGACGACCAAATGATCACAGCAAACAGTACGAAGCAGTTTGTTTGAATAAAGTTGTAGTGGGATGTAAGTATTGCATTTTATCCATTAAACAATCATAATAAATGTTTAAGTTTTATTCTTCAAATACCATATTTGTAGTATTTATTTAATGTACATTTAATATTAAATCATACTATTCATATATACTTATCAGAGTAGGTCAGAAGGTGTTTCATGGAAACAAGAGTGTGCATTGAGTGTCTGCTTTCATTACAGTTATAAGAATATCATTTAATATGTTTTATATCTTGGAACTCATATTTGACTATCATTTGAGATAAGATCATCTACACAGAGAACTGTCTGTTTAAAAAGAGTTATTTATAAGTGCTCTCAGTACAATGCACTTCTTTAAAAATCCCTAATACTAATCAGGAAAAGAAAATATTTCTTGAGAAATGTAAATTCTTTTATTAATCGCAATTAACTAATTATTAACAGTTAAACCTCAAGAACCACAAAACTTCAGTTGTGTATCTCAAAACTGGGAGAATATGATATGCTCATGGGATCCCGTCCAAAATTACGTTACAACGAGATTTACGATTGTTTTTAAATTGCCGGGAAGAGCAGGCGGTCGAAAATTATATCCATGCCCAAAAGAAAAACAGGAAGTATCAAGGTGTTTATGGGATACAACTACAAATCCAATTTACCGGCAACCGTACGAATATTATACGTTCATACTGAACGTGGAAAACGTTTTAGGAAATGCTAGTTATACCTATAAATTTCATCACTTTGCTCACGGTTTGTATTACATTAGTTCAAGTTGACACTATCTTAATTATGTAAAATATAATAACACATTATATAAATGTTTTCAGTTATTCCTGCAAAACCGGCTAATTTATCAGTTGTTAACAAAACATTTGACAGTGCATTATTGCATTGGAGTGTGCCATTCCCAATGCAGAATTTTCCACCTGGATTACATCATAGAATAACGTATCAAAATCAATGGGATCACCAAAAAACTTGGCAGGTGAATATAGAATGACATAGAAAAATTATTTTATACTGTAACAGTTTAATATAATATACTATTTAAAATGGATCTTCATCAGGTAATTAATATTACAAACGATATTCACACGCATAAGAGATACTATAATCTTACTGGATTAGAATATGCCAATACTGTGTATGATGTTAGAGTTTTCATGAAAAGCTCTGTTGCGGTTGGAGAAGACAAGTGGAGTGAGTTCAGTGATGTTACTTTTAGAACACCCTCAAGATGTAAGTTGTTCTCAACAATTTAAATTTCACAATTAAGCCTATTTCTTTTATTTTTTACTTTTGTTATTTGATATTTTAGTACCTGGCCATCCTCCAAAAACGGATATCGGAAGCTTTGAAATAGCGGAGAACAGTGGTAGCAGGGACGTGTATTTGTACTGGCAAACTATACCAGATTATTTAGAAAATGGTGGTAATTTCAGATATGAAATTGATCGTGTTGAAGAAAATGGTCGAAAATTAATACTTTGGCCGAACGAAACTACGAGAACATACGCTAAATTCAAGGGAATTAGTTTTAATAATTATCGATTTGAAATTGCTTCCACAAACAGTGTGGGAGCTAGCAAGGAACGTACTAAAATCTTTGTACCTAGTCAAAGTGAAAGTAAGGTCCTAAAAGAATTGAAAAAAAAGAAAGATTCATAGTGCTCCAGTTACATTATTAACAATGTATTTATGTTACAGTTCCACATGAACCAATAGCATTTACGAAAATTGCGTTCGATGGAGGATTGTACGAATTGTCTTGGAAACCACCTAATACGAACATTGAAATCACGAATTACACAATCTTTTGGTGCGATAACGAACGCGATCGACCTTATCAATGCACTGTACGTATTCAATTGTTACCTGTAATTTTTATCTAAATCTGCATTTTAGAAAGAGCCAGGTAATTGTAATATTATAGAATAATAATATAAACGTTATTAATTGCAGGGCTATCTGGACTGGGTACATGTATCTAAAAATACAACAATTTATAACATGACCGTACCCGATCCCGATAAAGTATACCAATTTGCAATTTCTGCTAATACGAATAAAGGTAGTAGCGGTATGGTATGGGCGTCGTGTACCGTGATACATAATAAAGTGGTTGGAAAAATGAAATCCGTATGGATAAATCGAATTGGTTCCGATTTTATCGAAGTTGGTTGGAAATTAGATTGTTCGGACCGTATTGGAATCGTAGAAGGATTTAATATTTATTATTGTCCTATTGTTTCACCATATAACTTAAATTGTAAAGGCCCAAAACTGAATACAACGATAAAAGCTGATCCACGTACTATTCATGGTATAGTACACAATTTGAAACCATATACTACATATAGATTAGCTGTTGCTGTTTTAACAAAAAGTGGAGAAGGATTGCACAGTGATCCACTATATAATACAACCCTCGAAGCTGCACCAACAACTCCGCCGCAGGATGTAAAAATTACAAATGTCACAAACACAACAATGTTCATCACATGGAAACCGCCGGATGCGATGAACGGCGTATTGCGATATTACGAGGTGTATTACAATGATCATGCGCAAAAAGTTGAAGAAGCAAATCATATCGAATTGAAAAATTTACTAGCACACACGAATTATAGCATTAGTGTAGCGGCGTGCACTGTATCTTGCAGCATAAAATCACCTACAATTCACAAAGTTACGAAGATTGGAGTACCGGGAAGAATCAATGTACCTCTTGTGCGCTTTATGAATTCTAGCCAAGTGGTTGTTATTTGGAATAAACCCCAGTACACAGCCGGACATTTGAATTATTACGAAGTGTCCTCAAGCGACGGGGAAGTACAAAACAGTACAAGAACAGGTAACATTGTGAAGAAAAGTTTATGTATTAAGATTGTATTCGTTTTTACATTATTTTAATAAATATTACAGAGGCCCAGCTACCTATTCCAGACTGTAAAACTATAGGACGGGAACGATTATACCAGTTTCGTGTAAGGGCTGTTAATGTTGCACCGAACAATCTACATTTAAAAGGTCCCTGGTCTGAACCTGGTGAGGGAAACTGTTACAGTGATGGTAAGTTATTTTTTGAATACTACATTACGTCTTCATTAATATAAGTATTTAATCATTTGATTATATCATAGGCCCGTCATTCAGCGTGTGGGTCATAATATGGGTGATAGGAGGTGTTAGTATCGTCGCAGTTCTTCTTTGCCTTGCACACCTATCAAAGAGGTATAAATAACATATTCACAGTCTACTATCTTATGAAATCGATATAATTTTACTACATTCACTGTTTATTTTTGCAGGATGTGGCTGAAGTGTAAGGCTATGCAAGATGTTGAAGTCAAATTGCCGCCTGGACTAGCACCGAACATGGTATGTATAAGAACAAATGTTATAATGATGAATTTAAATTTACTTAGATTTTGCTATACTCTTATTACAGAAACTTCTTCAAAAAGTTGGCGAACAACACATACGCCAATCTTCTGCCGATTCAAGTGGTTGCTCAAGTGGACAAGAATCTGTTACTTCTTCTCTCACATCTGATTCTCAAGTTTCAAGCGATAGCGGCACAGAAATAGATCCGATGCCGGTGTCGCCCAATAAATTGCTCGATACTTTACCAGCTTGGGAGTCTTCGAGTTTGCGTCAAAGAAATGTTGGGATCACGAGACCAGGATTTACAGCGGAAACAGCACGTTGGGAGCCATATGTAAAGGTTGCGAAATCTGGAGAGCCCATTATCGGAGACACATTGTCTTTGGCACGATCCACGCCTAATTTAACCGACAGTACAGGCTATACAACTTCTCAACACACTTGGTCTTCGACTGGTTACATCAGTATGCCATCGTCAGAAGAGCTGTCCAGTAATCCGAGTCCTGTTCCTAAAGAAAGTTCAACCGCAGGTGGCTATAGTATCATAGGAACGGTTTCTAAGTCCGTGAAGCCAAAGTCTGAGGATGATAGCGATATGACAGAATCTACCACGAACACGTTGATACCTATCAAAACAGAATCTAAACCTTCGAATCCATACATAAGTCTAGCATCCCTGGAGCAAAAGCAAAAGGACAAGAAACCTGCAGAGACTTTACGTGACCTGGATGAGTTGACGTTTACCGAATCAAACAAACCGAAACTAGAATCATTGACTCCGTTCTCGACATCCGATAAAATTTCTAAACCGTACGTACAAACAGGTTTAATTGATTCATTGAAGAAACCGTTCACTTTGAGCAGTATCGATGGTGCAAGGAACACAACAATGTCTACTCCATTCGCGTCAACATCTTTAACAGATTCATGCAGTAAACCGTTCGTATCGTCTTTCGCGAGTCCAACGTCTTTAGCGTCTACAACGTCTGCAGCGCCCACGTTGGATTCATCGTCGAAGCCTTACGTTTCCGTGTCCTCGATTCCAGAAGTTACGAAAAAAACAAATTTCCCAGCAAGCACTTTAGAGTCTTCACAGAAGACCAGCACGCCGCAAACGCCTACGTCCGACGGCTCGAAGCCGTACGTCCTTGCGAGTTCCGTTTTCCAGATGCTGCAGCAGCAGCAGCGGACAAAACCGGAGGCTCCTGTTTCAGAGGCGATGGAGGACGAAGCCGAAGAAGACGCTACAACAGCGTATTCTCTCTGTTGGGAGACCGATGATACTAAACCAAGTTCGAAAATGGACGTGGATAAGCCGATCATCAAAGCGAGTACCGGATACGTTACCATAGCAGAGAATCCAAAGCTAGATCAACATAGAATATCGACGGTATCTTCGCCATATGTACAGCACGAAAGGTTCGAAAAGCCACTGCCACAAACTACTACGGGACAGTCAGACGAACAATACAGTAAAGTGACTGTTGTGCCAAGTACTGTTCAATGAAAAGAAAAGAAAGGTGCAAATGTAAAGATTGTGGCAGTGTAGCTCGTGTTTGTCACTTTGTATAAACTTCCTTCAACGTAGGAATTCTTTTCTAATGAACTACGACGGTGCAATACGATTTCACGTTTTGTAGGTGCTTTCAAAATGTAGTTGACGACTGTGTGAGTCCTACATTTGTTTTCACGAATATAGTATTTAAGCCGGAGGCCTGAAAAATGCTAAATTGAGACACGACGGATATACTTTTGGCATGCTACGTCAGTGTGTTTAAAATCTTAGCGTTTTCTGGGATCCTACATGAAACAGCATGATGCTGCGTCACGACTGAAAGAAAAACAAACGAAATTGGAACACGAAGTGTACAACGATATTATTCGATGAGAGGACAAGTCGAACATAAAACGCCTTCATTTGTGAAAGTATGTACAAAATGAATTACTTTTGTATCATATATTGTGCAATGTGATGTGAAAATCACTAGCAACGCCATAGCGTAAGATTTATAGTTTAAGTAAATTATGTGGCATATACCCATCGACAGAACAATCAAATTTTTCGCTGATTATTCTATGCTAGTATAATAATTCTCACTCGTAGGAAAATCGTTATTTAATCATTGTGAATAGAGATGTACAAGTATCCGATAGTTCGAAATTGTGTTGGTCGTGTAAGATTAGGCGAGTTCAGGCAGGGGCTTGAAATAAATCGAAGATTTCCATCTGTCGATAGAAAATCAGTTCGATTCGATCTCGTTTTCTTCTACTTTGAAAATAATCGAATTAGAAAGTCCCACGTTTCGGGTCACTCCAAACTTGCCCAAGTTAACTCGACCCGACATATTCGATTATCCGCACATCCCTAATTGTGAAGCTTTTAATTGACTATGTGTAGTAACATTAATGTTTCGAAATACGTTCAAAATCATTTTGCTGGAATTTCATGCAAGAGAATGAATTGCAAACGCTTATCGTAGAAGGTAACAACATGCAAATCTTGAAATTACATTCGCAGAAATATTTGCCTTATTTCGATAACTATATTGTATCTTGAAACACGACAAATATTTGCGATCGACTGTGAAAAGTTACTGGAATTTACAAATCAATCTGTCAATTATTAAGATTACGATTTTGTATCGTTTTCGTGTTGCAAAAGATGGAAATCGTTATTTGAACAAAATTCCTTTGTTAAAGGTTCGATTGACTTTTCGCTGAATTTGTTTATTTGTATATATGATTTATAAATTGTTCCTGTAGTAATTTACTATCGCTAGCAATGATTGACGGAAAATACGCAATGAAAAGAAACTATGGTAACAAGTACAGGGTCATGGATAATAAGATAAGAAAATACTAATCGAAGCAAAGTTTCAAAAGAAATTAGATTGTGCATGTTCTTACGCATTTCGTTATCGCGAAACGGTTAAAACGTATCGGAAAACAACGTTCTTTATTTTTTCTGTTTTAAATACCTTTGCTGACTGCGTTAGCTATTTTTATGAAAACTCAAGTACATTTTAAGTGCAAGAAATCGTTTAATATTCTGTTATCTTAATACATACATTTATGGTCACTATAACAACCTAACAGATATAAGTTATTTTAAATACTTATCTTATCCATATTAATGATAAGAATTATTTTAAAGGTGTGAAATCAATTATAGAATCTGAACAAATTATCTTTGGCAGTCAGCAAAGTTAAAAGCAAGAACGAAATGGCATATTTTACAGGAATTTTAAGAACGATGCAACACCATGTGGAACATTTATGCTACAACAAAGCAAGAATATATATTATATATGTATGTATATGCATAATACCTTAAGCTAGTCATTGACGGGGTACATGAGTTTTTACAGGCCATTTTTATTGCTTATCATTTGTGCTTGTTAAATGATCATCGAATAATCACGTTTTCTGTTAAAAAAGGCTTGATTCTGTTACAACGTTGTTAGTTTATTGATAAATGAACGATATGTCGTTCGATTTTATATTATATCAATCCATATTTGTCGATGAATTTTATATAAATTACGATCAGAGCTTTATGGAATCATTGAAAAAGCGAACAAATTAATTCCTCCTCACGTTGTCACAATCATATTTTACCTCGTACGAAACAATCGAACAATTCAATTATTATACAACATACGTATATAAATCAGTACAAAAAAGGCCTGGTAGGATTTGTAGCCAAATTGTTTTACAAGTTCAAACAAACCTTTCTGACGTACGACGATAAAGCAAATACCGAAATATTTAAAGCTAACGAAGCACGTTGTTTGTACTTGTGAAATAATGAGTGCCTCAAAATAAGTGCCACGGAGAGACTCGGCGTCCGTGGAACTTTCTCTGTAGCGAGCTTACGTATACTCGTATGTTATATTGTTGTTACTAAGAGAGAGAGAAGAGCGATTAATATTTAAAATAGCGTGTAACATGTAAATGCTGCTTAGTTTATAGTAACATTTAACCGTTCGACTGCCTGCCGTGTAACTCGAGCGCGCTCTAATGTTCCACGTCCTGATTACCATTCATCGATGATGCGCTCGGATCGCATTGTTCAGCAGTTTTGTCATAAAATAGCTATTCGACACTTCGACCGTCGAGGCACTCGAACGGTTAAAGCGAATGAAATATAGAACGGTAAATAGGGTTTGTATTGGAGCGATCAGTGCGTAGTAAAAATGCATTGGGAGCATGATTTTTCTTTTACGCAGAAATGTGCAGTTTTGTGCAACGTAGGTTTCCCTTGGTTAAAAAAAAAACGGAAACTATCTCATTAATCACTTTATTTCCTTAATTGGTGCAGTTTCAGTATATGGCCTTCCCATTGATTGTATAACTGCAGAGTCCGCTTTACACTTGAACTATGAATCATTTTCGTCATATACTTTTATATACGGTCATAGAACAGTAATCGTAGAAAAGCTACAATAACAAGGAAATTGATATGCGTAGACTTGTTGGGGGTAAAACCGTTTGTATATAGCGAGACTCTGCTACGTTTGCAAAGTTAACAACTTCCGTATTTCCATAAAGTCTACTTTGCACCTGATTGTACGTCCAATCGGTATACTTTTAATTGATCAAAAGTTGTTCTTTCGAACAGCTGTTTTCTCCATCCAAATAGATCGTTAGGCGAAAAGGGTAAATATAGTAAAAAACGAAGAAGAAAAAAGAAACGTGTTAACCGATCGATCGTTGTATACGTAAAACGAAAGAAAATGCACGAATGCACGAGAGATTTCGAAACATGCTCATGTTGAGATGATTAAGTACTTTTCACGGCAAAGGCTTTTTAGATTGATTTAGAAAGTAACGGAGCGCATCTACTTTGTTGGGTTTTACATGTCTACATTGTACATACAGTATATCTATTTTTGTTACGTATTTATAAATGAAAAAGAACTACTTTATTGCACACTATAAATATATATATGTATATACATCTATATATATACGTATAGATATATATATAGATATATATATACAGCCTAGACTAAAAAGGTTTAAAACGATGAAATTGTGGTTTAAGCAATTTATATATATATATATAAAATATATAGACGATTGCGTGACACGTGTAAGACATACTTCTATAATTAAAACATTTATCTTTATCGATTAATTTGTCCTGTGGAGATCGGGGCATATATAAATCGCTTATATTCAAGAATTTCTTTTTTCTTTTTCTTTTTATGTAATCAAACAACCTCTGTATAATTTAGTTGAATAGTGAATAGTTTGTTAGGAAGTCTATAATGTTTACGTTACACTTTCATTTATACCAAGGGTGCTCAGTTTCCGTCGACGTTGAATCAATGATTTATAATTAAACATTGCAGAATACCGGGAGTCTACGAAGAAACGATTCGATGTAAAATTTCATTGTCATAAGAAATGCAAGGCAATCTTATATAGTGCAATGACTCGTGAATGATCGATTTGTGTAAATATTAATTGTTCTTTCATTTTGTTGCGTGTAATATAATTGTGTTGAATGCTACTATACGATCGCATGAATCATGCGTTTATTGGGCACCTTGGTTGTAGATTTTTTTTTATATATTCAGAGTGCAGTGAATTGTTGAAGAGGATTACCAGAGTTTGATTAAAATATTTGTTGTTGACATAGTGAAAAGAGTTCGAAATTACGCTCTTCGTGTTTTATACGTGTCTGTTTATTTCTGCGAAACATCCGTGATTCACTCATTCACGAAACTTGGTATAATACTTTTTTTTATCCCCGAATACGATCACTTTCGCGAACGAAATTTTAGTTGAATTTTTATCGTCGACGAATATCTTCGGAAATATCGAATACTTAGTGGAAATACACAGACACCGCGCTAACATTAACTGTGCTTGCATTAATCGTGGAATACTGCGACTGTAAGTCTCTTCTTGGAATTGGAATTTTCTTGATGAATTTAAGAAATTAATATCGTAGTAACGGCCGGACTGTTTACGCAATTAACTCGAGGAAGTGGCTTCCTGACGTCGTAAATGAATGTAACTGAACGCTACAATGTGTTTGCAAATGAACATGAAAAAATAATATATTTTAATAACAGTATTCCAGGGTTGATAGCCTCATGATAACCAGTTTTTCGTCGAGCTAAACTAGACCTTAATTCTAACAAGATCTTGTACAGAGTATTGTAAAATATATTTTTACTACATTTTTTTTTGGTTTTATTATTTATTTTTCTTTTATAACACGAATTGTGTTTTAAGTTCGTCATTGTAGAACTGCTGCCGTTATGCCATGTTATGTATGCCATGCCGTTCAGCCTTGCCATTTGTATAGGTTCGTTTTACGATCAATCCCAAAGTTGTTTTTTGTTTTTCAATACTCATACACGGATCGCAACAAGAAAGTAAAAACTCTTGTAAGACTTACCTTTGAATTGATGCTGTCGATATGCGCTTGAGAAGCCACTACTTTATAACGATTATGCTGAAATATATAACATTTATATCGACTTGACGCATTTTACTTTTTTAATTATACTATATATTCCTTCATTGTTTTCAATTAACGTTTTCTCTTCTTTACATTTACCCTATGAATTTTAATGATTCCTAACATGAAGAGAAAATAAATTCAATACAGATCCTTATCTCTTTTAATCTAATTTAATGATGATACACGTCAATGATCCTTGTTATAAACCTAGAAAAAAAATATATGAAATAACGCCCTTTAAAATGGCGCTCTGAACTATATTTCGTTGGTGTCGTAAGGTGAATGATACTTAAAAGTAATAATACAAATAAGAAGTAAATTCAAGGCATCATAGGTTGTTTATTGGCATTTTATCTCTCATTATTGAGGTTTATTTATCAAGGGAGTGATACAACCAATTATAAAAGGTCTAACTTTTATCCGTTCTAATTACTGTTTTTCCTTCTTTAGATAATTATGTACATGATTTGAATTAGTTAATTTTTACATCGTTTCTATCATGGAAACAGAAATACTAAGTACATACGAGTGTACATAATTGCTGTTTCGATAGATTAATTAAGAACAATTACTGGATGTAGTTACTGCGAAGACATATTTACTCATCACCAAATGCACAGTATACGTTTCGATTATTCGTGTGACGATCCACGTCTTGCGATATTAAAACTCTTTATGCATGTGTATGTACATGTTTTCAATAGTATCAGAAAATTTGTTTTAAATTAACAATTTTCTGAACATGATATCAAACGGATCAAACACAATCTTAATAACTCTTTCTGGTGGTATAACTTATTACATTGTGTAACAAATGCGCTATGCTTACAGGTCTTTGACATATCTATTTCTTTCTTTGCGAAAAATTATCAGCTGACAAATTCAAGCTTCGTTCTGGCTGAATATATAGCTGCACATATCTTTGTCCACTCTGATAAATTAATCGGGTATACATCCGCGAGTGTTCATTCAGTAAATGTATATATTATTCACTTACGTAACTCCTAATTATTGATTATTGCAGCCAGTACTGAGACAATATTTTGGTTGGAATCATACTGAAGTATTGTTCACAATACATAAAAAATATTGTTCTAGGATAATGGAACTGCCTAGAATTATCTTAAAGATAACATGAAGCCTTATCGTACATTTATATTAATATGACTAAATAAACTCAATAGTCGAAACTGCAAAGAAACGAGGCAGTTTTTTAAATATTCATAAACATAATGTTTCAAACATGATATATACCGCTTGGTCTCACTCGTTCATATATTTTTAATAGCTGAAATATATAATAAACCGATATAATAATTTATATGTTGTCACTATTTAATAACAATTAATGATGTATCGCATATACGAACCGGTAATAATTGGGTTTAAAAGGTCCAGCCTTGTTAAGTCCCATGTATTTAGCTTGTTCATCCGTTAGTTCAGTTAAGTGTGCATCAAATGTTGGTAAATGTAATGATGCTACGTACTCATCTAACGAATTATATTATTTTATAAATTCACTCTGATATTAATTATAGTAATAAAACATAAAGCAGTGATGGGCAACTGTGCCTGTGAGCGAGCACTAAATTTCTAAATTTGAAATCTCTATGGATCGTTAACACCTTATCACTGTATGCGCTATGCACACATTTGATCTGCCCATCACTGATATAGAATGTATCTTATTTTATTTACCCATTTTTTTCGGTAACAAGTAAACATCGCTTTTATATCGTCCTGTTGGCGCGTTGAAAAGTTCAATAAGCGCTAACGCTTGCGTAGCGGCTGTAATCGAGACAACAAACGAGGGAATGCTGGAACAAGACAAGTTGACTAAACGGCCTTCCGCTAATAACACGATGCGCTTTCCATCCGGCCAGATAACATGATCCACTTGAGACCTTACTTTTTCCCAAGTTAAATCAGGCGTGCGTAAACTGTTCTGTTAAGAACATATTAAAGCAGTCTTAATGTCTTACCAATACATTTCTTTATTGTTCTGAAATGTAAGAAATACGAGTTTTTCTCCCTAAATTTTAGTTGAAAGTTCTAATAGAATTTGAGATGTTATTATTTATACAGTTAAAGCTTAAACGTACAATATCTATTTCTGTGTTACTGTGTCCCATGTTGCATACCACACAACCGTTTTTCATCTTGTCCATGTGTTCTCGTGTAACTACATTCTTATTGCCTGTTGCGGTAATGACAATATCTACGTTTCTAATAACTTCGTTTAATTTCATTACTCTAAAGCCATCCATACTGTAAAAAAAGCATTTATAAATAATCTCAATGTTACAATTTATACGCGTTCATTTCTTCTATTTACCTAGCTTGCAAAGCACAAATTGGATCAATTTCGGTTATATAAACAATACAACCTAAACCTTTCAGAGCTTGACAACAACCCTTACCGACTTCTCCATAGCCACAAATTACAACCTGTTTCCCACCAAACATGATATCTGTTGATCTTTTCAAACTATAAAAGATACATAATTTAAATCAATAGCGTATATTTTCGATGCAGCAACAACTAGTTTGCCATTAAATTACCTATCAATAATACTTTCACGACAGCTATAAAGATTGTCAAATTTAGTCTTTGTTACGCTATCATTCACGTTCATGGCAGGGACGGATAATTTGCCTGCTTTTGATAACTGATATAATCTATGTACACCTGTCACGCTCTCCTCAACAATTCCTGAGGATTATTAATAATATTATTATCAATTCTTGTGTGAAACGTATAATGAACAAACCTTGAATCATTTTAAACATGGCATTATATTTTTTAAGCATCAAATGCGTTGCATCTCCACCGTCATCTAATATCATATTCGGTTGCCAATTTTCGGCAGCTACGCATTTATCGATGCACCACCAGAAATCTTCTTCTGTTTCACCGCGCCAGGCAAAAATTGGATACCCTGCATGGGCAAGGGCAGCAGCTACTTCATTTTGTGTAGAATATATATTACATGCTGCCCACCTAACTTGGGCTCCCAAATGTACTAAGGTTTCTATAAGGACTGCAGTTTGAGCATTGATATGAGTGCATCCCACAATTTTTGCATTCTTCAATGGCTAATGGAAATAACTTTTTGTTATATATATACCAATATTACTTTAAATTTAAGGTTTGTACCTTATCTTCAGCTGCGCGTTTACGAAGTGCCATAATTCCAGGCATTTCCTGTTCTGCTATTTCTATTTCTCTTCGACCAAATGCATGTTGATTAATATTGCGTACACAGAAATCTGTAAACCCGGTTTCGGTCTTTTGAATTTTTTCGCGCGGTGATACGTCATCCTCATCTGACGAGCTTCCTGTATACGATGCTAAAGTACCATAAAATAAATAATAACGCGATGCCATTTACAAGGATGCCATATTAATGAACAAAGGAAGTACATCATACCAGAACTGTAACTATCCGTGCTACTGGCTGACAAAGAACGACTACGATAACGGCTCGATTTTTTTAAGGCTCCAGACTTGGGGTCCTAAACATTTAAAAGATTAAATTAATTATGCAACCATGTATATTATCTTTCATTGTTAAAAAGGGCCGCAATGAATAGAAATGGACTATAAACAGAAAAATGCAAATGAAACTACTTTATTCAATTAAATGGACACAGATTAATATAGACGACATATAGCAATTTTCATGGTCTATATTGTTTAATATGTATTTTAGATATGATATTTGCATATTAATGAAGCAATATGAGTTATTCCTGCCAACAGTGTTACATGATAACATGAACAAGCAGGTGCAAGCCATCCATAATTTGAATTGCATTTTGTAGAAAAATCGTCTTATTATTACCCTGTGTTATAATGAGAAGGCAAAAATGGTAAACCCATTGGCACATACCACACTTATGTAGTCATAGGGATTAAAGCAGCCCTGAGGAAATTGCAAGGATTGCTCTATGGACAGGAGTACAAGTTTACTTTGTGTTTTGTACACATATATTCTTACTTACTAATTTTGTTCTCGCGCCGTGAAAGGCATTATTTGATGCCTCTAGGCTCTGAAATCACAACAACCACCATTTCATGATTCAAATTGGAGCAAGTTTTTTATAGTACAGTCCGTAGTTTGGTACAAAGCTCCCAAAGGTAATACTTGTACATAAAACTTAAATAGCTTGAACTATTTAATGGTTTATGTTAAACTGTTTTTTTATATGCAAAAGTATCTCCTTCTTTTATAATTATTCCTCAGTTACTTTTATTGCGCTCAAAACACTAGTTTAGTAGTGCTAAATTGTGCCACGCCTATGTGGTGTATTTAGGCTTGTAATGAGCGATGCATGAGTGATTGGTACCGAACCTACGGACTACCGTGAGAATAATGCTCTATATGTAAAATAATATAAGCGCCTTGATGGCAGGCAATATGTAACAACATGCAAATCACCTTTTAACTTTTATATTATCAAAGTTGAAGCTGAATAATGCACTAGCATTTAATATTACCAAAGGTGTTTGAAGGAATATATCATTTCTTATCATGATATAGATAATGAGTTATAATTATACATACAATGGAAATAAATTTCAAATGAAAAGAATATGAGTTAATAATAAAATGATATAGAGACAATAAAATGATTCATTTTGTTGGTATCTATAAAATAAAGTTTATTACTTTATGTATTTAAAACAAAATAATTAAAATAACAAAAGCCTCAAAAGCTGCAATGTCTTTAGCAATTGACCTTCACATATATATGAACTATCTGTCACTTTGATGCCAATTATCATATCATTACCTGCACATTGTGTAACATTGAAATTGGTAATTATGATAATACTGTTAAAGGATTGAATATTTTAAATACAAAAATTTGTATTCTACTCGTTAACGAATTATCTATGTTATTTCTTAATTCTCACATACATTGTTGTCAGTTATTTTTACTTCTCACAACTAGACAAATAATCATTAAATGTATTAGAAGGATGTCAGCTATTTTCGTAATACATTTACAGATGTTTCTTTCATAATGAACTTTAACACACAACAAAGATAGAAGGAAGTCATTTGTTTGGCAATAAACACAAGGTATACATAAGAACATACATCAATTATTACCATGTGCTGTATTACATAACAGCAACATGTGGTCACAAGACTTGACGGGGCTGGGCTGAGATGTCACACAAAAACAAAACATGTATAAAAAACGATATACAAAAAGATAAAAATACATGATTTTATATACACAAGGAATAGGTATAGAAATAATTATCAGAAAAGCTTGGTTCCCTTGCTGCACTTTTATTCTTTAGACTGAAAACATAAAATAAAAATACTCTCTTTTTATGTATGTAAATGACTTAATTAATAAAAAACTAATAGGGTGGTAAATATAATACTCGTGGTAAGTAGTACTGTCATGTTTTTAAACAGTGACAACATAAAGTAGAAAAATTTGATTAATTAAATTATTGGTCAACAGTGTTCTTAAATTCACCTTAGTGTTTGATGCTGGATCGGTAACAGGTCCATCGGTGACCGTATTTCTAGCCACTTTTCCTGAGGACGTATTGTTCACAGTCTCCCCACTGTCAGCCATTTTCGATTTGAAGTTAGACTAATTCTTCCACCAGACGACAGGTGGTACTTTTATGCATTCTCAGGAGCGTATTTTTAGTGCGCTTACGTTTGGATGCTTTCTCGTCGATATTGTTCATTAATATTTTATTAATTTTAATAAACAACAATAACATTGTTACATCATTATTTTCATATAGTATAGAAGGTTTAATAGATGTTTTTCAAATTAAATTCATCTTATAGATCATGCAGTATATCTAAATAACATTTTTATTTAGAAATATGCTTGAGTAACTTATAGAGGGAGTAATATATATCTTACTTTTTCTATTACTCGTTTCATGAAAGAACATATTCATCAGATGACAAGTTTTTGTTCATCCTGCGCATGTCAGCTCTGATTTGTTCGACTACACTTCGTATCCAAGAGTAACGCGCAGACGCTTTTATGGAGGTTCTTGATTTTCAGCTCATATACCCAATGGTCTTTTATTTTGTATGCTTCGTGATGTATTGACTTTCAAAGGCCAAAAGTATTGAAACTTAATTGCTTTAAGGTTTTACTATTTTTTAATTCCGATGTTTGAAAGTTCCAAAGTTCTCATTCAAAATGAATTTGTAGATGATGCAAATGGGTATCCATACTTTGAGAAACCAAGTTCATATATCATCGCCCTTTCATTCGTATATTTTGCCTACTATGTATATTGCCGATAAAGTGGTAGTGGGATAGTCCTAATAAATGGTGGGGATCCTACTGAAATTAGCCGAGATGCGCGAATCGGCTATGATCTACTGTGGAACGAATAATAGTAACTGATCACGTAGAAATCGAATTTAGTAATAATCTTGCTTCTAAACAAGATGGCAATGAAAAATACGAAAAGTTTTTAATGTATTTATAAAGAAAGAAGAATCTGTTCTAAAATATACTCGAATCGTAAAAGGGATACTAGATACGGCCTTGTTCTTGTAGGACGTATAGTATTCATCCTAAAAACACTAATCGCCTTGTGCCCACCCACCAAGATGGCACCTTTATGGGGCAATACTCGATGTTTGACGTGAAGTTATTTACACACCTAGTATTAAACGATCATCGAGACAAGTTCTAGACATCTTTTCAGTGCATCGTAGATGTAAAAAATATCTGGAAAGAGTGCGTGCTGTATAGTAGTGAAAGATCGATCGAGTTCCCGAAGAAAAAATTATACAGGACGGCCGGTTGGTACTAGTTCATCCGTCGAACAAAATCTTAGACAGGTACCATAGCTTTTGATGTATCGAATAAGATATCTTCGTTGGTTTCATCGTTTCGTTGAAATAATTTACAGCATATCACCACTATTCTTTTTGGGTGTCTTATCACATTTTGTCGAATCTTGAGATTTTACCGTCAATATTAAAATTGACCGCGGTTGTGTACAATGCATATTGATCTATTCGTAGCTGTCATTTGTACATCGAATAATTTGTTTCTTCTGCATGATTCACATTTCATAAATTTCACATCGAGTCCAATTTTAATGTATTATGTCGGTGACGAGCGGAAATATGAATAAATTTTCTAAAAGCTTATTTCATTGTGCTAGAAATACTCTGTCACCACTGCAAAGTCTGATTTTCTTTTAACTTAACAAAATGTAATACTTTCGTAAATGTTTTTGAAGTTCATTATTTTTTATATTCATTAAAAATTGTTGTCACATTTAGAGGATTTAATAATTTAAGGTGCAACACGTTAATTACGTGGAGGTTAATGTAAAATGTGTTTTGAAATCTACTTTTATATTTTATCTCATTGAATTTGTAACTTGTGAAGTGGTGATGTTAATGATTTTTACTCCATTTGTTCTCTGCTTTTTCAGTGTAAGATGTAACTAATAAATGGTGTTATGTACAATTTGTAGAACTCCAATGAACACATAAATAAATGTAATTCAGTATTACTAACATAAATATTGAGCATTAGAATTTTTTGCACATTATTATTCTTTCTTTTTTTATTCTGATCCATTTATTTATGGACATTTTTTTTCAGATGTACAGTGCTATTCCAAAGAACAATTGCTCATAGTTGTGCTAAACATTTTATGAAAAAGATAAAGTTTAAAGATCATCTAAAATCTGTGTTATTAATTTCTAACAATGTAATTTTATCATCCAAGCTACAAGAGTAACGTTAAATTGAGAAAGCTCAAATGAAATTTTGGCAAATGTCATTTGTTTATAATTGCTTACAAATAAATTTGCACGTTATTCAAAAACTCGAAGTATGATATTTGACCGATTTGAAGGAAGAAAAAGGATAAAATAAGGATAGATTATTAAAGATGTTACCAAAGGGAGGCAATGCTGATTTTCATATAAAGTTTTAGATCTGACACAATGACCAAAGGGATAAACACAAATTTTTAATAGTGGCAAAAATAAATGGATAAGAAAAGCTATTACTAGTGGTACTTAAAAATGTCCTGAGTAAAACTTGTAAAAGAAAAGATTTTTATTTTCACACTTATTAATTGTGTAAGTGATCGTATTAAGCTTTAAAGATGGCAAGAAAAAGTGATAATATCAAAACTATCAATGTTGCCGTTGTTGGTCTTTCTGGTACAGAGAAAGACAAAGGGCAAGTTGGTGTTGGAAAGTCATGTTTGTGTAATCGTTTTATGCGTTCTTTGAACGACGATTATAATGTGGACCATATATCAGTGTTATCTCAGGTAACTATTAACTATGCTTATTGCAAAATTTATCCATTAATTGTTATTGTTACAACTGATTTGTTTCTTACAGTCGGATTTTAGTGGCAGAGTGGTAAATAATGATCATTTCCTTTATTGGGGTGAAGTTATGAAAACAGCAGAGGATGGAACAGAATATCAATTTCAATTGATAGAACATACCGAATTTATAGATGATGCATCCTTTCAACCTTTCAAAGGTGGTAAAATGGAACCATATGCAAAGAGATGTGCAGCCACCAAAATCACCAGTGCAGAGAAGCTTATGTACATTTGCAAAAATCAATTAGGTATCGAGAAAGAATATGAACAGAAAGTTTTGCCGGATGGTAAATTAAATATTGATGGTTTCTTGTGTGTATTTGATGTTAGTGTTGTACCAAACAGATCCATAGAGAAACAAGTTGAAATAGTGGCAAATATATTAAATAGTCTGATGAAAACTAAAAAGCCAGTAATTTTGGTAACAACAAAAAATGATGATGCAAATGAACAGTATGTGAAGGAAGCAGAGAAATTAGTAATGCGCAAAGAATATAAAAATTCAATTTTAATAGTTGAAACTTCTGCACATGAAAATATTAATATTGATTTGGCATTTATGATTTTGGCTCAACTGATTGATAAAACCAAAATGCGTAGTAAAGTAACACCTTTCGCGGAAGCAGCTAGAGCTAGGAAAGAACTGTTAGATGCATCGACAGAATCTTTGCAAAGATTGATTCGAATACACGTTACCGATTATCGCGCACTCTGGTCTCAAGCATCTAAGAAATTAGCTCAGCACAAAGAATTTTCAACGTTTGTGGAATTATTCGGTATCGACGCAACTCAAAAATTATTCAGGAGACATATTAAAAAATTAAAGGATGAACAAGTAGCAAAGAAAATTCAGGGATATTTGGATATGTTACCTGATATCCTTCATGAAATATGCCCTGATATAACAAATTTGATCAACGAGTATGTCACGACTACAGCTATTCAAATATAATTAAGATGAATAGTTCTAATTAATCTATGTGTTTTATTATTATAGAGAGTGGTCTGCAGTGCAACAATACATAAAAGAACATCCTGATTTTCATCAGTATTTCTATGAGTGCCCTGAAGATATTCCTTGGATTGATTGTGATTTTGGTGAAAATAATGGAACAAAGATTCCTTATGATGTTTTAGAAACTCCAGACGCTGAAACTGTTTTTAAAAATCATATAAATGTGTTGCAACAAGAACAACGACGATTAGAGTAAGTATTATAAAGTGTTCAGTAAAATTGATCATTAAATACATATACACGTACTTCTTGGTGTTAAATTCTTGCTATTCATAAATAGCAAACAAGTCATTGATTCATTGCTGCATATGCTTCAATGTAATCATTATAGTTATGTATTCATTCAGTATTCTAGACATTAATACCCATGTGCAATACACTAATGCTTTGCTTTATTCTGGGTGGTGTTTCTTTGAGCAGACTTCCCAAAAGGTAAATTGTGCTTTTACTGCTTCATAATATATTTCTTTAGAAAGATACATTTATTAGCTTTACTAACATTTTTAGTAGTAATTTATATATTTAGGTATATCATTTGACATTACAATCTTATATTGTATTGTTAAAAACGTATTCAGTAATAAATATAAATATAGAAATAGTACATGTTATTTATTAGATGGAAAAAACAATTTAAGCAATTGTTGGAAGAAACTGGATATGTTACACCGGGGAAACATTTATCCGAGGTCAGAGTACTTTTCATGGGTAGGGAATGTTTCGAAGCTCTTTCTCACCATGATTGTCAAGAAATATATGAGCAGCATCAGAAGGAAATCATTGAAAAAGCAAAACATAATTTCCAAGTACGAGCACATGCTTTAACATGTTTAATAATAAAAATACAAATGTTCTATGTTTTACTAAATTTTGTCTTATTTTTTATATTAGGAACTATTACTAGAACATGCAGATTTGTTCTACCATTTCAAAAGTATAGCGCCATCAGGAACCATAACACAAGATGATATTAAAGAAATAACAGATGCATTAGTAGATGACTTTAGGTAATTAATTAATTAATTTTCCATCGATTAGTAGATGTTTATCAATTTTTTAAAATAATTATTTATGGTGTACAGGTATAAGGCTTTAGATAGATTAGATCAAGATAGAAAATTAATGCTTTTTCAACATTTGGGATTTGTACATTGCCCTATAAGAGAGCATTGTCCAGCTTATCCGAATTGCATGGATGCACTTATAGAACGGATACTTGGAACAAAAGCTCATAGGTAAGATTTTTGCAAAGTAGGGCAAGACTAACAATTTTCATGTATATCTAACGTGATTGAAAAATGATTTCTTAGGCCTTCTTCGTGGAATCATAGCAGTCAGTGGCAGTTAACGTCTGATAATAATCAATTAAATTTAGTCATACTTGGTAGCAACGGCCTTGGCGAGGAATTCGCTCGTGAAATCAGAGCACAAACAGAGGATGACGAAGTTGAAATTGATTGTCAGTTATATACACTTGGGTATCGAATTATTGATGGCGATGTCGGATTACCGCACAATTCATTTACTACTTCAGACTTTATGCCACATGGTATGTGATAATGTGGTAATGGCCGTATGGATACATTTTCATTGCAACATTTAAAAAAATTTGCTGCCTTTACAGGATCCTTTTGTATTTATTCAAACGAGGATTCATTCGAATATATTCGTTCGTCTTTAGAGAAAACATTGTTATCAAATTTAGAGCAAGAGGATAGATTACCATTTCAAGGATTACCTATCGTCATTATGTTTGTGCCAGAATCTACTATAGACGAAATGGAAGCAATACGACTTAAGGAAGAGGGTCAAAATCTTGCTGATAGGTATGCATTGTCATTGGGATCGGATGTAATATTTAATTAACGATCAATGTTTCTTACAGCTTACAGTGTCCATTTATCGATGTCTGTATAGAAGATTTAGAACAAGACAAAAGATTTCCTACTCCACTCGTGAAAGATGCATTGCAACAACTTATACAATCTATAAATCACAGAGCGGGTTTTCTAAATATTTACCAAAGTGTTATCGAGTGTTTGGAACCTGATATTAGGTAATATGTTTATTAAATATGAAGCATACATGAGAAATAAATAAAATCTTCATTTTTATTTAGGATAATAATGTGCATGTTTTGCGGAGATCCATATTCCGTGGAAAATGTGCTTGGACCCCTACTCAATCATCAGTGTTGTTTTCTCAGTGGCGATCGATCAATTGTCTTAGAAACATTTCTAGGAGAATCGAAACGAAGAGTTGAAGTTATTATTTCAAGTTTCCATGGAGCGAATGCGTTTAGGGATGAATTAGTGCATGGTTTTATACTGGTTTATTCTACGAAAAGGAAAGCCTCACTCGCAACACTTAAGTATGTATAATATGATCGTTTTATATATTTTAAAATATGTTCCTCATTTTTGTTCTTTTTTTAGTGCGTTTTCCATGAATATACCAAACTTACCAATACAAATAATGGCTGTGACCGATACTGGAGGTGCTAACGCTTTCTTCAGTAATGATTTAAGTCATTTACTTATCACAGAGGGAAACGCAATTGCGGATAAATTACAAGCCCACTTTATGACCTCAGCATCCAGTTGTCAACAAAAAAGTATTTAAAAATATTATATTTTTAACAAAATTATCTTCTCTTTTTTCGGCATACTTGCTGACGTTAGAATTATTTTAGCGGCCTTTTATACACCATTTTTCAAAGAAGTCTGGGAGAAGAAGCCTGAAATTGAGCAAGCTTTCAATATGGAAGAACCAGGCAATCTGAATGATAGCGGCGAAGGAACTTTAGAATATTCTGCATTACATCCTATGCCACCGCCGCGACATGAAAGCTATCATCTTCAGACACCAGATGACGGGTAGGTAATCTGAAAGCAATGTCTATAATACGTGTCATATGACTGATATTAATTAATTAATTCGTATTTTCTGGTGATTCAAAAGTCTAATGTGAAGCAGTATGTCTGTAACTTTCAGGAGCGGTTCTGAGTCGTATGAACAATTAACACCGGATGGTGATCTTGGAGAAACAGGCTTAAACGAACAGTTTGCGGATAATAGAGCCACACCTAGCGATGACAGTGATATTTATAGTCAAGTAGATTTTTACAGGGAAGAAAGAGAAAGAGAATTGTTAAAATTTGGTGATACTGCGAACAAATTAGCCGGTTGGTCTTGCGTTGATAAACTTACGAGGATAAATTTCTATGCATTATGTTATTTCATTTTTTAATGATTCTGTGTAGGTTGGGTAAAGGATACATTTATGCACCAAGATGGAGTAACTAACAGTTATTCTCACAGAGCTTTCACTACGGGTAGACGTCACATTTCTCAAGCGAAACCGCGGCCAAAAGGAAATAGCCAAACTTTGAAACAGCCAGGAAAAATAAATTTGAAAGATTTCTCAAACGTGACAGACGCCATAGCTAGAATGACAGTAGGTGAGAAGGATGAACATGGTCCAAAAATGACAATGGGTCATGCTCCCCTCGCTACGCCCGAATTAGTAGATCTTGGCTCTGAATATGCGCAAGTTAAAGACGTTGTACCAAGTCTGTATCCTTCTTATGACGGCGATTACATGTATGCTTTAGTACAAGATTCTATTGGAAATAATAAACCTAAGCTGCGTCACAGACGCGACAAAGGACAACCCTGTAAGAGAACAATTGAGAAAACGAATTTGTCACAAATCTTTTCCATGTGTATGAATTAATTTTATATTTTACTTCGTAGCATACAGCGATTCTGATTCAGAATGGAGTTCTTTGGAAAGGCAAAGGGTAGCTGACGTGTTAGGAAAAGCAAATAAGAAACCGCCGTCGCATAAAAGGATACGGAAAAAACGTACAGCTATACCAGTGGCTGCACCAAAAGTTCCATCCTTAGCTAGTATGGGAAGCGGAGACGGTATTGTTGGCCTGAATTACAATATTAAAGAAGATAAAAATTGGCGTGTAAACTCAGCAGAACGTGGTACGTGTTTACAACAAAAATTTTGTTACATTTTACTATAAAAACTTATAAGTTGATTTTGTTTGTTCAGTATCTAGCGAAACACCAGATTCTTCTGAGTCCAGTGATCCAGAACACGCTTCCAGATCAAGATCCAAACAATACAAACATGCAGCTGCTAGTCTGCGTAAAAGATTTGGGAATTCATTGCCACAACAACACTTATCGACGTCGTTACAGCATCCTTATAACGTAAAACATATGACCCAAGAGATGTTTAGCGCTTCTTGTAAGTACAACTACGATAAATGAAACGAATATTTATGAACTTCTTTAAATAGCTTGCATGTTAATAACAAAAGAATAGCATAAATTACATTTTATAGTATACAGTAGGCATGTTATATACTTTCCGCATCTGCTTAGAAAAACATTGTATTCAATGTTTTATGTTTTATTTGTATCATTAGCTCTATAACCTGTTGATAGAGGATAACTATTAATGACAAATAAATATTGCTCGAATTTTAGTGCAATGTCAGAATTATCTTTCATATAATAGCCGTAGATATTTTTTCCAAATTATTTTTTAATATGGTTCAACCAGGATTTCACAGGAGGTTTGCATAGAATTATTTCCTATTACGTATTTGGTATTGCATGAATTTATTGTTATTTTAGCGAAACACAGGAGTGACAATACATTTGGCAACATTCCAGATGATGAATCCAGTCTAGACGTTTCTTCTCCGCGAGAAATTAATTCTCCTAGTGTAAGTAAAAAAACTTAACCTATAAGATGAATTTTTATCTGAACCCTTTTAAAGACATTCTATATTGCTTCTATATTTTAAATAAGGTCAAAGATGGCGATAAATTAAACAGAAAGAAGGATAAGCAGAAAGCGAAAGAAGATGAGAAATTAGAAAAACGTCGGCAGAAAGAAGAAAAGTTGAAAAAACATGCAGAAAAAGAGAAGGAAAGAGAAAAAAAGAAGCAGGAGAAGATAAAACAAACTAAAGGCCCTGGAGCAACGTTAAGTATGAGCCAACCGCTAATCGAAGATTTTGCTCAGAGCGAAACAAATCGAATACCTTTGTTTCTTGAGAAATGCGTGCAGTTTATTGAAGATGAAGGATTGGATTCTGAAGGTATATATAGGGTTCCTGGAAATAGAGCACACGTTGAACTTCTCTTTCAGAAATTTGAAGAAGGTAAATTTCTTTATTATATTACATTTAAATAGTAATGTATATACATGCTCACTCGCATTTAATTATCACAGATGGGAATGTCGATATACATTCATTGGACATACCTGTAAATGCTGTTGCAACTGCTTTAAAAGATTTCTTTTCAAAGAGATTACCACCATTGATCGACAAAGAACGTATGAGTGAACTTGAGGATATATCGGGTAAGTATAAAATTGTTAGGTGAAATTTTTAATAAAAAAAATCTTTTTGCTAATCGGTCTTGCGTTTAGGAGCTCGTGGTATCAGCAAACCGATGTCTGCTACATGTATGAATATGGAAGGTAAATTTTGTTATCGTATTCTATTCGAGCAAGTAGTGTATAATGGTTTGTGTAGCTTTCATGTTTAATTAATGTCTAATAAATGAAATGTTTATGAATATATTATAGATCGAAGCTGCAGATTATTGGCGCTACGTTTAATGCTCAATAAGCTGAATCCAGTAAACTTTGATGTACTCAAATTTATCTTTCATCATTTTGTGAAGTAAGTTTATCTATAAAGTAATACTCTCTAATCGATATTAAGATATAATACAATATATTTTTGCAGAGTTGCTGAAAATTGTAAACTGAACAGTATGGACAGTAAAAACTTGGCAATCTGCTGGTGGCCTACATTATTACCTATAGAATTTAATGATCTTGGCAGATTTGAAGCAATGCGACCATACTTGGAGGACGTGGTTCAAACGATGATCGATCAATATCCTTTCCTGTTTTGTGGTGAAGAAGCAATCGTAATGGTGTAGTAAAAAGACTACATAACTTTCTAATTGTACAACTAGAACTTTGTACGAACATCAGAAAAATGATTGTTGTGCATCGATATCGATGCGCACCGTTTTTTGCAAGGTTCAGTCCTTCGGGTCACGAGAAAGAAACGATTGGTCTCGCTATGTTTATACTATTTAGGATTTCATCGTAGCGCGTTTCAACTACGACTAGAATAATCCTCGTGACGCAAAAAAGACCGAACAAATTAATTTAAGTTTACGTATTCGTTCTATTGCGAGGTGTGACTGGTGGAATGATAGATTAATGGCCCTAATGACGGCTGTTTACAGGCCCGATAATAACGCGAATAATAAAAAAAAGTCAATCCATGTGTCATAACAGTATGCATGTATCATGTTGGATGTATTCAGAGCGATGTATTTATTAACATATATTTAGGCGTAAGATTCGATATTTGATAATAGCGAATAATCGTAGTGAGCTCGATGTTGCTTTTTTATCTGATCTTTTTTGTTCTTTTTTCTCTTTTCTTTGTATTTTCTACAGAGTAAGAAACTGTTTGCCGTGTGCGACGTGTGCGCATGTGCGTCTGTGTGAGAGAGAAGGAGCGAGAGGGAGAGAGAGAAAGAGAAATGGCGCAATCTCATAAAAGAATATTCGTATTCTAAATGCGTTAAAGACATTATCATGGACTGTACGTAATATCATATACAAACGTTCTCGAATTCGTACGCATTTTATATAGCAACGATATCAAAAAGTGGGAAAAACTTTTACAAGTAATTTCAATTTTCGATTAACAATTTTATTCAGTCTCTTGAACTATTAATTAACTATGTTTCGAATTAGTAGTTTCAAGAATACTCAGTTTTATTTAATGGGACTAGTTAAACCCATTGGTGATACAATCCATAATATATCCATTCCGTCTGAATGAAAAAGAAAATCGACAAAAAAAGAAAGGAGGAGAAAAGAAAAAACATCACATGTAATTGCGGTTTTTTCAAATCGTACAGCGAGTAAGTGTTTATGTCAAAGCGAATTATAAGATTATCGATACGGTTTTAATTATTAAGATAAAATTTTCAAGGTTTCCGGATTTCTAACAAATTTACGGGAATACTAAATGCTAAGAACAATACTTAGAATTTCACAGACACTTTTTTCAAGTTTCATAAAGCGAACATGTACATAAGATTATAAGATTGTACGCTGCGAAAAACTTTATAACGAGGACCGAGAAGATCGATTATCAATACCTTCGAGATTATTCAGTGGTCGCCGTAACGTTCACGCGAATCGCTTCTATCCTTTTCTTTATTTTTATTTACGCGACGCTTGTTATTTGAAACTAAGTGAGTAATAGACGAAGGTTCGTGTTTTTAATCGCGTATTTGTATTTCGTGTAACAAACGTTTCGTCTGTATTTATAAAAAGGTATTTATGAATATCCGATTTTATTTCTCGAGCAGCTACGTAGATTAACTACGATTGCATTGCTTGTAATCGGTCGTCGAACTATATACCGCCATTGTTTATTTTGTACCTGCTGCGTTTACCCTTTATGACAATTTATTCGGCGAAAACTGTAATTACAAAAACTTGCGCACATAAATTTCTTTATGTGCTCCCATGGATAATAGTTCCGACGATCGTCGTTAGTGTCCTAAGAGTAAAATTCGATGATATATATTACGGTAGAAGTGTGCGAGTTTCCGAAATTTCGAGATCAAAACGAGACGAAAAACTTCCGGCGAGATTGAGTAAAATTGGAGTTCTAAAACTTTCGAGATCTCGAAAAATGGGCTCGAATAAAATCAAACTTAGGAGTTCACTATTAACATCGATGCGTTGTATTTAACATTACAATATTAAAATATGAAATTTAAAAAGAGTAGAGGAAAACTTTTGGGGTCCGTGCCATATTAGTGTATCGCGATTTCACTCGATCTTGTCTAAGCTTATCCATCTTGCATCGAAGTTCGATTTCTTGAAGTTCAGGACAATTCACATACTTCTATATAACAAACATCAACAGATCAAACGACTGAGCCATTAGAACTGTGATGTAGTTACTTGTTTTAAATAATGTATAATAGTAACCATTGAAAAGCAAACGGATTGTTCCACGATGCTTATAACAGGAGCGACATTTGTTGATACAAATTTATTGTTTTACGATCAGCGTGTATTTTAGCTACGATTCTTTTTTCAGCGTGCAAAACCTCTTCGTCTATTAAACGCGGAATGTTGTGGTCCGATTCCAAAACGAACGACGGTAAATTGATGTAGGTGTGCCATATTGTACGTAGATGTCACGATCGTGTAATCGTATATCTTTGGCGACTGAACGTTTGAAAAGTATAGAAAGCAAAGCAAAAAAAGCACAGGAGGAATGGGGTTAATCGACAACCGACGATGAACGATGGAGCCACTGTGAGCAAGTTTGTTCGTTTGTTTTTTCATTTTTATTCGTTACTCCAAAATATAACGAGAAACATTCCCGTGAGTAACGTCGATGTTACTTAGGGTTTCACGAGGACGAATGCGACGAGGTTGGCGTTGTCGAGAGAAAAGAAAATAAACTGTCTCGATCGATTCACGTCAGCGTTGACGATTTCGTCTTCGATGAATTTTGCACTGTCGTATATTTATAAGGAAAAAAATCGTTGTAACGATATTTCGATGATCCAACGACGAGCGGAAACGCTTGGCGGCGAGCTGCGGATCGTACATTCCCGTATTAGTCGTAAATGAAAGGAAAAAAAAACAAAACAGAATTTTATACATTCGTACGTACATAATTGTATAATGTTATTAATAGGAACAAGAGACGTCGATGTTACGTGTGAGATCTGGGATACGGATCAAAATGCTGTCTGAATAATAATGACATGATTTCTGTCATTGTCGCTGAATTCAAATTTCTATTTTTCAAACACCTTCCAATACACCCTCCTTAGCGATTCCGGATAATAGTTTTCTTTTATTTTTACATATTAAAACTTTACATTTGCGATTTTGGAATTTGAGACTGAAATCTTTTAAACTTCTGAAGCTTCAAAATATTTCATCGAGAATCAATGTGTTTTCATTTAGGTCATATGAAATCTTTATTTTTTAAATATTTTATATCGTAAAATTTATGGTACTATTTTATCAAATAATTACAACGAATTTATCAAAGCAGGTTATTCAAGGAGTTGAATTTTCCAGCCCCTTCAATGGATTCTTCAGACATTTCGTAAGACGCTTCATCGATTTCCTTCCGTGTTCTCGTCACGCTCTAAATGACATCCTTCTTGAATCCCGTGTATTTCAAGAGCATCAAGGCTTCACAAATTTAGGAAGACTAAATTTACGTTAGAAATTTGGATGCTTGTACTCATTCATTGCATACATTTTCGTTTTGTCAACAGGTGATTTTCTATACATTTTTCTTTGAGTTCTGATGTCTGAAAATAGTTTCGTAAATGTTTTGAGTTACAAGATACATTGTAATGGTACCCTAAGGGATCAAATGTGGGAACCTCATTCACAAGGAACATTGACCTAAAGAGAATGGTTTGATGGTACAATTGTTCCGTGTGGGTTTTAGTTCCTACTCCTTAACGTTAGAAGGATACTATTGTCTATTTACCCTTCGGTAAATGATCCTTTCTGACTCGAGTGAATACAATCCGGATGAGGATCTTATAACATTTCATGACTCTACAGGACGTCTCAAAAAACTTGCATACATGAAAGTTAAAAGTTCACTTTGTGTCGCTTTATTGAAAAAGTTCTGCGTTCAACTTTTGGGACATCATGTTGAAGTCACTAGAGACGGAACACTTCAGTTATTGTATACGTTTCCTCTTCCTCATTATTTGTTTTTCATCTCGAAATGTTCTTTCTTTAGACAGTAGGAACGGCAGCTATTTTTTAAAAGAAAAATCAACATTGTGAACGAAACCGTAAATTCTTCGCCCAACTTTAAACGATTGCAAATCATTTTTGCTTCAACAGATGTGCACATCTGTTAGTAAAAAGAAACATTGTACACGAGAGCTATACTTTCGGTGTTAATGCAATGCCATTCGTAAGAAAGTATAACGTTAAGAATGAAAAGTGACCAGATTAATTATTTTTTCATTTTCCTTTATTTTATATTTTCTTTGTATGAGCGTTTGAAAGAAAGATAAGCGTAGATTTCTCCAGAAGAATGATTGCCGTAATAAACCGAATTTCTGCCCCTCCGACATTTTCAATCTTCCCGGTGGGTCGGCACCCTTCCTATTTCATTCTTTGATAAAATATCCTTTTGCTCTCCTAAAAGACGTTCCATAATTTCAATTTGCTTTATTAATCGGTAATTGAATTTCTCCACCTTCCAGATTCCTAAATCTACTCTAACATTTTCTACATTTTATAACTGTAGAATCTTTTCGATTACGTGCACCATTTTTGAACCATGTTGTAAGCACGTATTCTGTGTCTCGGTTTAGGTCGGCTTTCCTTACTTCGAGAAAAGGATTTTAATCGTGAATAGCGACGAAGATCGTTTTCTCGACGGCATTTACACGAGGACAGGATAAGGGTACGATTCTAACTGCGAAGTGTCCCTTGAAAACGGAACGGAAATATAGAAGACAGGCGAGGTTGAAACTCGAGCTCGAATTAACGCCGGTTGTGCAGAATTCAGAGGCTTATCCGTCTCTGGTTCTTTTTTAAAGGAAACATTCGACCAACGCGAGACGGAAGCTCGCTTTTACGTTCATAGCCTTCCGGCGACTTCTCTTCTATATCCCCGTTAACGGATGGCTCTGTTAATTTTGGCGCATGGAACTTTTCAATTAACGCGCCGCCTAAATCTGCCCCTAATGACCAGGTTCCTTTTTCTCCGATTCAATCGAGACTTCTATGACAGCCTTTCGTTTAGTCGTTTCCGTACGAATTATATTCTCTGACTTTCATGAAGTTTTACCGACTTGCACGATCGGATGGTTAGTAGAGCGGAGTTATTTATTACTTAAATCTATTAGCACCCTACGCAATCTACGTAACGAGCGAAGGAGGAGGTCTAAGACCTAGGGAGGGCTTAGAGGAGCTTAGGATCTAGAAAAAGTTTGGGGAAGCTTAGAAAGACTGAAGATAAGGGAAGAATGTCTGAGCTGCCTAACTAAATCCGAATGACGATCCAAGGTATATCGATATTCTTGACGAGCGACAACAAAGAAATATCAATTTACCATGTGTACACTGGTCAGCAAAAATAGGATTCTAGGTCTACTACGGAACCATTTTGACGCTGATGGACAAAGAATTAAACGGAGGGCTAAAGTGTAGACGAGAGAGGGCTTGGATAGTAGGGAAAGCGCGGACTTGGCCGCACTCGAGCGGACGTTACACCTGACGCTAGAGGATATGCACTTGCGTTTTGAGGTTGCACTCTTTCACGTGTTCATTAGTGGCGCAAATTTACCTGGCGGCGAGTCATACACCGGCCCTCTCGTTGTCTTGAACCATCCGAAGTGGTTCAGGATATTCTACGTTAGACCTTGGTTTCTTCTACTCTCGTGACACTTAGCTTTCGCTGGCTACATTTTTCTTTTGGATTTTAACTCTCCCTAAGGGTCTTGCATGATTTGATATTATGGTTTAATGTCGGAAAATCATCATCGTGTTACAAGAAGTGTCCGGTTAATCGTCGCAAATGCATCGGCAGTATTTGCATATTCGGGTCAAGCCGGTTATCAGTTAGCCATGTCTAGTTGCTTCGCAAGATTATTCATGCGTTTCGTGACTCCTGCAGGGATATTCAGGTGTCGTGATTTTGGTGGATCAATGGGAATTATAATGGTTTTATGTTGATTTGAAAACAGAGACGTCAGGATCATCCTGCGTAATCTGGAACCGAGTGACACAGGGCAAAAGTGCGATGTCGTTTCGCGGAGAGTCGGGAAAAAGTGTATATCGTCGGTAGGGAGTAAAAGCGTTGGGGGAAAATTTACTTCGGGGGAAAGGTGAACGAAAGATTAGGGGCTGAAAGCGGTAATAATAAGGTAGGAGGAAATAAAAGAAGGGTGTAAAAGAGAGCAGAGGATGCTCTAAGAAAGTTTAGTTATTAAAGGAAAGTTACGATCTGGTTTGTTTGAAAGAAAGTAGACTTGAAATACAGGCGATGTTAGGCGTAAACAATCTCCAGGCTAATGGTACAAGGTGAAGCAAAAGTGTATTGTCGTAATAATACTTTTATAATCGTGTCTTTTTAATTAGTTAGCGTAATAAAATATCGTACGAATGCGAGTTTTTAAAATGCTTAATAACATTCCAGGGTTGGTTTATTCCAAATGCAGAGCTTTGGCGTAAGTGCTCCTTCTAACGTAAAAGCAAAAGGTAAAAGAAGAAACGACGCAACATGCAGATGGACGTTGAATAGTACCAAAGGGAACAAAGCTTATGACCTACGAAGTAGAGAAAACGGTAGTATCGCAAGAGGAGCAAGATAACGTACTGACAGCTTTGAAGTTTCATACGCAACAAATATTTCTTGCTTCTTTATACTTCGTGAAAATCATTCGGTATCTACTTTACGAACTCGTTGAAAATAACGTTGTATATTTCTAAATGTAAAATACCGAAAGTAAACATAGAATATTTTTGCAGCAAGCTATCGGATAGAATCATTAAGAATTTCTCGCGTGCTGCGCGAAAGAGAAGAATATAAACGGCGTCCTAAATGGAGAAACGCAAGCGCGTATCTGTATAATGAAACGAAGCGTACCGATTACGAAGATAAAACCGGACGAACGAGAATACTCGAGTCCGTGTCGTCGGGGGTAGACGAACCTGGCGTTGAACGCGCGAGACCGTAAACGCGAAGCAAATGAAAAATCGTCAGCATAATTGGACATCCGTTCGCGCGAATGAGGGCTGAGCGCGCGCAGCCCCATAAACCTACATTTAAATTCAATCACGGGGGTGAAGCGCGGCGAAGCGAGCGTGGACGAAACGAGGAGAGGAAAAGCTCGTCCTAGTACGCGCACCCGGCAAACACACAGTCAAAGAGAGGCTGCGGAACCAAACAAACAAACAGACAAACAGATATCCAAGAGTTCGACGAAAAGAGCGGGGCAAAAGCAGGTG